TAAAGGTAGTGAAGCTAACTTGAGCAAAGAATGTATAGGGTGCTTTGCAATAGCCTTCAAGTAAAACTGATAGCGAAAACAATCTAGATCTTGCATATATTGCTAGGAAAACATCATATTCCCAATATCTCGCTGCAGCGGTGCACCTAGAATTTTCCTGGGGAGGAGGGTTTGGTTGGGCACCGAATTTTTTTTATGCTACCTCCATTTTGAGTCCTTAATATTTGGGTACCAAAGATTCAAGTATCTGTTATCCTGTCTACCACCTAAAACCACCCTCTCCTACTTGTGCGCAGTTGACTCGGAGTACCGTACTCCGAAAGGGGGATGGCCGCTGTAAGGCTGTCGACATTTTTGGAACACTCCTTTCTCGTATCTAGATCTTATCTCTGTCGTTGAGCCGGTTGGTGTTTCTCTTTTTTTTTCTTTCTTTTTAATTACTGTTTAGATTACTTCCTGTCTTCCTCTTAATCATCTCTTTCACTCATTTATCTGTTTCTGTCTTTGTGAACCTGTAGGCCCATGCTACTTAAGGCAAATGGATAGAACATAAAATGAAATGAGAAATAGGTGATTTTCCAAAGTTCTTCATCCGATACACAAAGGCACGTGTCACTTTTTTATTGCTGTGTAATTATTCGGCTGTCAATGTTGCCAAATCTTATAATTTAAACGTTCTTTCTAAAAATATAAAAGCACACAATATTAATTATTAATTATTGTGTATTTATACAATAATTACCTTGGTTTTCGGTCTAATCCATTCTATTCTTTTTCGATATCTCTTTGTTATACCTAGCATGCATCTCTCCATTGACCTTTGAGTGATTTTAAGTTTCGATGTCATCTTTTTCTTTGGTGTCCAAGTTTCACAGCCATACGTCATGATTGGTAGTATACACTGATCGAATGCTTTTTTCATCAGGTGGATTGACTTCGATTTAAATATAACTTCATTTCTACCAAAAGATGCCCATTCCAATTTCATTCTACTGTTGATTTCTGGAAGTAAAGATTTATATATTAATTGTCCAAGGTATACATACTCGTCTACTATTTCAAGTGCAGTTTTGTTTATTATTACATCTTGGATATCCACTAACTCGTTGTACATGGTTTTTTTTTTCAAGTTCATTTTTAGGTCAACTTCATTGCTAGCTGCATTTAGGTCGCTAATTAGGTCTCGTACTTCTGCAGGATTATTAGCAATAAAAGCGATGTCGTCTGCAAATTTTAGATTGGTAAGGTATTCTCCATCGACGGATCTTCCTTTGTTCTGCCAGTTCATTTTGCTGGATATGTTTTCTAGCGTTGCAAGAGCTTTGGTAATATTGCATCTCCTTGTCGGACGCCTCTGGTAGTGAGAAATTCTGGAGTGTTTTCATAAATTTTTACCTTAGCTTTTGCTTGTCTATATATGTATTTGCTAAAGTTTCTATATACGGTTTGTCAATGCCTTGGTTGGTCAAAGGTACTATTACTGCCTTGGGATATATAGAATCGAAAGCATTCTCGAAATCTATGAAGGTTAATGCTAGCGGTATTTCATTTTTTTCGGCTCTACTCATTAGTTCTCAAAGTGTAGGAATATGATCTATGGTACTGAATCCCCTTGTAAAACCAGCTTGTTTTCTGGGCTGTGCAGCATCTAATGCGTTTGTTCTATTGTTGATGATCTTTGTGAATATCTATTATACAATTGGTCTTTAGTTTTTGATTTTCTCTTTGCTACCTTTCTTATGAATGAGAATTATGTTTGCTGTACTCCAGTGGTCTGTTATAATCTCGATCTTAGGCAGTTCGTAAATATGCCTGCTAACATTTTCCAGCTTTTATTGCCAGCGTATTTAAGCAGTTCCACTGTTATATTATCTATTCCAGCTGCTTTACCGCTTTTCATTTTTGCAATCGTCGATTCTACTTCTTCCGGAAGGACGTCTGGTACATCTTCTTGGTTACTGATGACTTCTTCAAGTGTGTCAGGGACTTTGTATAGTTCGCTGTAGAATTTAGTTATGAGTTGTATTATTTCATTTCTGTCTGTAATTTGTTTTCGTTTGTTAGAGCAACGATTTGCTTCTTCCAGTCTTTCATGGTATTTTCTTATATCTTTCTTAATACTTTTCCTTATCGTCTTACAAAGTTCTATGTATTGTATTCTCTGTATGTTGTTGCTTCCTTTCATTTCCCTTCTTTGTTTTAGCATTATTTTAGTTTTATGACACAGTTTATTATGTTCATTTTGTTGTTGCGGGCCTCCGATTTCTTTAGCACTGTCAAGAATAATTTCCATTAATTAAGAGCTGTCTATTTAGTCATGTTCTTTTATATAGCGTGGAGTCATGGACCTTAATTGAAGCATCACTGAAGCGACTCGAAGCATTTGAGATGTGGTACTCTAGACGCATGTTGAGGATTTCCTGGATAGACAGAGTTACCAACGAAGAAGTACTACATAGAATGGGTAAAGAGCGCGAACTAGTTGTAACCATAAAACATCGCAAACTAGAATACCTGGGCCTTATAATGCGTAATGAACAACGATATAACCTAGTTCGGACCATACTTCAAGGTAAAGTGCATGGGAAAAGAGGTCCAGGACGGAGAAGAATATCCTGGCTGTATAACCTGCGAAAGTGGTTTAACTTAACTACTACCGGACTTTTCAGGGCAGCAGTCAACAAAGTCAGAATAGCCATGTTAGTGTCCAACATCCGTAACGGATAGGCACCATAAGAAGAAGATTTGGTCATATATTTTTTCTATCAATTGTCCTTTATTAGTGATCTGAGTTTTCTTTTAGATTGTTAATATTTATACCGGTTACTCTTGGTTTTGTGAATAATTTTATTCTTTCTAGTTTCAGATCTAAAACAACTTTGCTCTGGTTAGTCTATGGTCGCTGCCTGTTTGAAATTTATTTATTACACTGACAACTTTTCTTGTTTTCTTAGAATGAAGTCAATTTCTGACTTAGTGATGCCATTTGGTGCTACCCAAGTCTATTTTCTGTTCGATTTTTTCTTAAAGAATGTATTTGCAATTAGCATTTTTTGGTAGTGTACAAACTGAGTCTTTCTCCCCTCAAACATAAATAATGTTTGTATTTTGAGAACGATTTCCAAAGTGGAGATTGAAACGTCAATAAACTTATTTTAATCTTCAATTGTGGCTTATTCCCATTAAAATAGTAATTAAGTTTGATTGTTGGTTAAATTTTTTGGATTTTATACATACAAGGTATGTATATAAAATATGTATATTATTATTTTTTGCCTACCCACATAAATTTCCCGATGTCAAATTTTTATAGTTTTTTTATTTTCATATTGACAAACAATTTTAAATTTAGTTCCATGTGTCTTAAGTTTTTAAGACATTTTAATTTTTTTGCTGTTTTCACAAGATAGTGTTTCATCAAGTAGGCTTTGACCGTTTATAAAAGCCAAAATCTGTACTTATTTCCAATAATTACATTTCCAATATAAACAGAAACAGCACATGCTCATAAATATTTTCATTGTAAAGTTCACTATACGATCAACTCTACGTCAACCAATCTCCTGTAGAAAGAGTGACGCGCTACAACTACCTCGGCACCATAATAAATGAAGAATGGACCAACAACCAGGAGATTAGAGCACGCATCGCAAAAGCTAGATCCACCTTCAATTGGATGGGGGCCTTCTTCAAGAGTCACAACCTCTCTCTTGATACAAAAGTAAGAATGCTGCGATACTACGTCTTCTATGTCCTTTTATATGGTGTTGAATCGTGGACATTGAACGAAGATATGTGCAAAAAACTCTTGAGATCCCGTGGACTGACTGAGTCACAAATGAGGAGGTCCTTAGAATTAATAAGAACCGAGAGGTACTGACAACCATTAAATCTCGAAAGTTACAATTCTTCGGACATATTATGCGAAATGAATCCAGATATGCTCTCCTTCAAGCCATCCTACAAGGAAAAATATTTGGAACGCGAGGTCCAGGAAGAAGAAGAATATCTTGGTTAAAAAACCTCAGAAGCTGGTTCAAAACAACATCTGTGCAGATTTTCCGCGCTGCTGCAGATAAGATAAAGATTGTCATGATGATCGCCAATATTCGTAACGGATAGGCACATCAAGAAGAAAACTAAGAAGAAAGTTCACTATCGAAAACCTATGCAACTGAACTTTCAGATCTCAAAAGTGTTTCATCAAGAAGAAAACTAAGAAGAAAGTTCACTATCGAAAACCTATGCAACTGAACTTTCAGATCTCAAAAGTGTTTCGATTTGCAGATAGGAGTTATAGGCCACATTGTAAGAAACTCGGTAATAATATCTATTTAAAAGCAATTTGCCTAAAATAATTTCTGAATTTAATAAATTACCACATAAACGAGAAGTGTAACAGGTAATAGGCAATCTTCCGTATTAAAAACCAGCCTTGGGGCAAAAATGCTGGTGATGAGTTAACCCACCTGCGGTGATGAGTTTACCAATCTCCAAAGGATACCGGTGATCAATTTACTCTATCTCGGAGGGTCTAATAATTTTATGGGGGACTATAAAGTGATAAGGTGACACGTCCGAAAAAATGAACTGAAATATGAAAGGAAGTCCTAATACAATCAATCTAAAAACGATTGTTCTGTACATGTTTTGACAAAGAACTTGAAATAATTTGTTGATAGGATGCAGCGATAAGAAAACACTTAATAAGGGATGCTAAATAAAGAATGTTCTAAAAATGACCTTGGTGTTAAAAAATAAAAGTTTATTTTTTTCGAATCTGATAATTTGTGGTTTGTGTGTACTTATTAACAAATAAAACAGAAAGGTACACCAGTTACAAGCTTGCGGGGGAGTTAATTTCGATAAATGTTATGATAAGTTATTTTTGATCGACATCTTATCGTATACTGAATTCCATATCTTAATCTATATAAGAATTTTTCGTTACCATTTTCACCAGTCTGTAGTGAGTACCCGCTGCAAACAAACTATTCATAATGTCTGCTGAACAATGTAAGTAAAGAATTAACTAGAACCTTTAGCTTATGTGGTTTTTAATGGTAAACATATTGTATACATTCAATTATCTAGTGGGCATAGGTCTGAGTCAGCCAATTTTCCATGTTTTGCAGTTTCCATGTTTCTTAAATTTACCACACTTTGAACTGATATATATGTATATTAGTCCATTAGTCCAAATGGCCCAAGACCTTCATGAAACATCCGTCTCGAAGCTATATTTGTTATCTATTTAGATTTTAAAAAGACCTTAATAATTATTCTGCTTATTTTACCCATTTTACAGAGTGACTTTACCCATTTATAGTGAGTAGTGTAAACTGAAAACAGCTGTGACTACTTTGAATTCAGTTTCCTAAAACTCTAAAATATTTGTTAAAGAAAGTTATAATAACAGTTTTGCTTGTCTTTGATCTGGAATATATTCGTACTAGTAAGCTCTACTAAATTCCTTTTCTCATTTGCATACATCTTCCAGAATACGGTTTTTTGGAAAACCGCAGACTGGTTCTGGCCCGATAAAACGAATATTAGTTCCTTCTTTAAATCCTTACCTGCCCATTCCACGTAAATTTCTTATCAGAGATACCACCGAGATACTTGACCTCTTCCGAGAATAATAATGTTATTCCATTCTTGGTCAGTAGTTGAAGAGATAATTTCCTTGTGTTACTGAATCAAGCAGTCGTTTTATTGAGCTTTAGAGATGTCAGTGCGTTTTATTTCCTCATTTAGTAATTTCTAATTGACAAAAGCTTTAGTTTCTATTCTTTTGTTTGTATTTTTTAGTCATAATTTGGTAGACCTCACACTCATTCGCCCATTTTCATAAAATTTGTATAATTTAAAATATGTTTTATAAAGCATGTCCTACATATGTATTTATTTATTTACCAAAATAAGATTTACATCTATAATATTACAAAGATAAAATTGTATAGAGATATACAAAGCCATCTGTACATAGGATTTGGTTTAGAACTTCAAACTAAAATTCCATCATTAATAAACTATTCTCATTCTTCTGCGCTATTTTTCAGTATTATTCCGAAGTAAGCTTGTTGCTTTTCTACTTCTTCATGTACTATGTCCTCTCAAAACGTTGGTTACCATCATAGCTATCTTAATTTTATTCACTGCCACCCTAAATAGCATGCTTGTATCAGGACCATACTAATCTCGCAAGTTCTTCAACCATGAGGTTCTTCGTCGTCCTGGACTGCGTTTGCCTGCTATTTTTCCTTGCATGATATTTTGTAGCAACCTATATTTGGGACCTCTCATTACATGTCCGAAATACTCCAGCTTTCTCTTCTTGATGCTTTTTATGATCTCAGTACTTTTGCTGACACGTTCTAGCATTGTGGAGTTATCTTCTCCACCCAGTAAACTTTTAAAATTCTTCTATAGCACCACATTTTGAAAACCTCAAGGCGATTTGGATCTCCTGATTTATTATTTTCCCATCAATTTCGATTTTACATCGTAGTGAGTATTTAGATGTCATAAATATAGTTTTTTTCTGCTGATATTATCATATTTTATTTCTTGGCTGTTGTATTGAAGAAGCGTGTTAATCTTTGGAGCTCGTCTTCTGTCTCGGCGATTAATACGGCGTCATCTGCGTAACATAATATTTGGATTTGTTTGTTTCCCGTTCTGTAACCGTGACCTTTACGTACTGCTTGTAGTATTTCATCCATTATTATATTAAAGAGAAGTGGGCTTAACAAGTCATCCTGTCTGACTCCACTTTGTACTGGTATACATTGTGTTAGTATTCCATTTATTTGTGCCTGTATTCGATTATGGAAGTATGTAGATGTTTTTGATGGTTTGTATAATATTGATTGATATGTTTCTTTTATACAGTAGGTGTAATACGTCTTCGACTTGGACGCGATCTAAAACCTTTTTCAAATCTATATTAAGTTTGTTAAGGTTTACGCTGTAGCCTAATATTAAAAATATGTATAAGGGGCTCCATGGTAAAATCTTCTACAACTAGTAGGTATTGTTTTAGTATTGATTCCATCACCACCTATATTTGTTATACGTTTTATTTAATTCATTATTTTAAATACAGCTCACCATGAAACAACCAAGATTGAGGTCGGAGGCTCCACTATGACGCTTGAACGTACAAGTGAAGTCCACTTCACAACCGTAACTACCACCCAGGTAGTCCAAAACCAGATTGGCGGAAACATCAATGGTGCCGTGGTACTCACCAGCGAACAACACGTTCAGCACACCAGCGAGGTACACACCGAAAGTAAAGTCGAAAATGTACATCTGGCTGGTCATTCATCAATGCTTGTTATGAGTCAGCCTCCCAAACAAGGTGAAGAAGAAAGGAAAGACTATTTCCTTGTTTCAAACCATGGAGATGTAAAACTTGATGCTGAAGTAAGTTTTTTAATACTGTTCTAAAGCTATTTTCTTATTGCATTTTAAAGTTATTACTCTACTTAAACTTAACTTAAAATAAGTTTATTAACGTTTCAATTTCCAACTAGGAAATCGTTTTCATAACACAAACATAACAATTTTTTATTAATTACACAAAATTTACACAGCGTTTTAAGTAAATTAATACCTTTTTCGCAGTGACAAGTTGTGTAATTAATTTGTTGAGACGAAGGCAGTTTACTGTCACATATTACAGCAAGGTATTTGAATTCCGAAACTATTCATATGACATTGCCCTGTAAGGATACAGTATCATTTTAGGGTGTTTTTTAGAAAAAAAGACTACAGCACACTTTTGGTACGAAACAGTGAAGCCATTTAACAAAGGCCAGCTATAAGTTGTAAATTATATGTTTTAGTACAGTAATATATTTGTTGTACGTTTTTTTTTGTAAATAGATGACAATATCATCAGCATATTATAAACAAGCAATTTTGGGAGACCATAAATTGCGCAATTCATATGTATACAGATTAAAAAAAAACGTACTTAAAACATCTCCCTGTTGAATGCTTCTTCTTCTTCTTCTTTTTATATAGAGATGATTCTGTCAGTTTTTCAATGTGGCTCTAGTAACTTGTCATTCATCGTTTTCATGGTCTTCCTACTGATCGTCTTCCTATTGGGGAACCGTCTCTTGTCGTCTTTATACTCTATTTGTTGTCATTCGGCTTAGGCTAAGTGTTTTCATCTCTGCTGTTTATTTCTTCATATTGTTTCATTTAGGCAGCCTAAGGCTTTGTTTGCTATATTCACTTGTTCTTTCACTTCGGTTTGGAGCTTTCCCTAGCTAGATAATGTAATGCCTAGATATTTAAACTCCATCACTAGTTCAGTTAAATTGTATTTTTGCTAAAAAAGTTTTGGGGTAGTTCTGATTTTTTTCATTCCATATGTTTTTTGGGGTGCTTAATCCGAATCTGGGGTTTGTGGACAAAATTTCGTGACGCAACTTAAAAAAAAACAGAATAAACCTTTTTTTTTTCTTCTTTTTTCGGGTTTTTTGCTTAAAACTCAAAAACTATCAACTTTTGGTAAATGGTCTGTTTACAGAAATTTTCTACAAATACCAGTATTTAATTTTTTTTTTCAGACGAATCGTTCGGTTTCTAGTGCGAGTTGAAAATTGTAAATTTTTAGCATTTTATGCAAAATCCACTTTTTACATTTCAATATTTAATTTTTATGGATGCTGTCATTTGATAAATGTCACCTAGTTTTCCATACAAGTAATTAAAAAGAAAAAAGGGAAAAATTATGTAAATTCAGTAGGTAGGTAGAACTCGTAACAAAATAAAACTTAAAATGTCGTTACTTATGATCATATATTATTATGATTATAAATTATAATATATGCAAAATTTATATGAGCCGTTGTCTTTTGGAAGGCCCTGGCTGAGGTTCTTCGATAACGATGAGTCCTGGTTCTGCTTGTTCTGGAAAATAAAAGTTTAAAGTTAAGTAATTTATCAAGAAGAGATGAAGATTGCAAAATAGATTGTGAGATTAAACATACCTTCCGCATCGTAGTGATGTTCTTCGACGGCATCGAGTCCTGGCTCAGTGTCTGATTGCTCCATCGTCCGCGTCGGGAGTCGTTCTCCTGAAAAATAAAAAGAGGAGAGAAACATATCATATATCAAGGAGAGATGATTGACTACAAAATAACTTGTCAGATCCAACATACCTCTCCCTCTTTCTTCAGTTTCTTCTACGTCTATGTCAGAGCTGTCTTCTGGGGGCTCATCATTGTTACATAGTCCTTCGCTTTAAGAAATTTCAGTTTCTCTTGATTAAATAATGCAGAAGTAGTATCACAACCACTCATCGCATGCAGAAATAAAATATGATCTAATAGAATTTTCTAAGCAGATGATGGTTGTAGAGGCTTTGCGAAACCTTTCGTTTTCCTGGCTTCAAAAAAAATACGTTGTTTATATCAGAGCTACAAAGGCCAATCAAAATGACCAGTAGGCCTATATCTTCCCCCACCACATCACATGTTTATTTGACGGGGCCATCTCAAGAGCTGTTGTGATAATTAGGATATCAGCATCTTCCACAGCTTTTTATAGTGCGCTAGTGTGCGCTACACGTACATACATATTACAACGTCTACAACAATTTAGCACATTGTTGCCGTTTGGAATGTAAAGCGGCTTTAACTGCTTTTTAACTGAGTTATTTTGATTTTTTGCAATCTAGCTATAATATTTGAGTCAAAACGTGAATTATCCGTGTGACTCGGTCTTTATTTTAATTAACTTAAATACTAGTGAAAATTAACTGAAAACCTTTCAATACAAATCTAAAAAGTGGGTTTTGCAGTCGCACTGGTACAAATTGCCAATTTTCAACTTGTACTTGAGACCGAACAGTTCCTCTGTACAATAACCAAAATAGTGACATTTGTACAGAACTTTAAGTACTTTAATTTCTATAAACAGACCATTTACTAAAAGTTAACAGTTTTCGAGTTTTAAGCAAAAAACCGGAAAAAAGCAAAAAAAAAACCGATTTCTTCTGGTTTTTTAAATGTTGCGTCACGAAATCTTGTCCGCAAACCTCAGATTCAGATTTAGCACCCCAAAACACATATGGAATGAAAAAATCATAACTTCCCCAAAACTTTCCTACTAGTATCACTTTACAGTACAAATTTACTGAATTATACTTGCTCTATTACCTGCCCTTCCAGCTCCAATTTACATCTTAGTAAATTAACTTATGTAACCATGCATTTTGTATTTGTTGGGTAAATTAACATGTTAAATTTTCTGGCGGTTATATTAAATTGGTGCAGCATACGTTGTAAATTATTTTCACTTCGAGAGAGTAGTATTGCGTCGTCTGCATGGCAGATTATTTTAAGTGTTTTTTTCTCCTATTTGGTATCCTTTTTAGTTCTTACTTTTTTTATTATTTCATCAAAAGCCGATCGTTGCCGAACCAATTCAGTTGGTTTAGTTCGAAAAGATAACATAACCAACATTGTTACCTTTTCTAACTAAATCAAAACTCAATATCTATTTTTAACAGGGACGAGATGAGATATGTTACCTTTTCAAACTACATACAGTATAGGAACAATTTATGAGCAATTTGTTACCTTTTCGAAACAAGTGATTCATTTATATAATGGGTATTAAATCACTAAAATCAACCACTATTTTGTCTATTAAATATATTATTAAGAAAATACTGATTTTTAGGTTATCCATGTCGAGAGGATGGTACATCTTGGACCAAGTCATCTTGTTACTATTCTGCCTGGTGAGAGCCACACATTTGATCTTAGTGGTGTACACTTCCGCAATGCTCTTCTTAAAGTTACAAATCATGAAGAAGGACAAGCTGTATTTTCTGCTGAAGGTGGTAATGTTCTTAAAGATTATGAACAGACTGTACAAAAAATCGAAAACGAACTCCAGGTTGTTCAAAAAGTTGAAAACTTCCATTTGGCTGGTCATTCTTCGGTGCTCGTTATGACTCAACCTCCTAAACAGGGAGCAGAGGAAAGAAAAGATCACTTCCAAGTTACAAATAATGGAACTGTTAAAATTGATGCAGAGGTAAGGGTTTCTGTAATGGACTATATGCCTTCAGGTTATTATTTTCGTTATTTTTAAGGTGACTCATGTTGAAAGGATGGTACACCTTGGACCACGTCATCTAGTAACCCTTTTGCCTGGCCAGAGCCACACTTTCGATCTTAGTGGAATTCACTTTAATATGGCTGTCTTAAAGGTAGCAAATAATGAGGATGGAGAGGCTGTATTCTCTGCTGAAGGTGGCAATGTTCTTCAAAATATGGAGCGTAATGTACAAAAAGAAAGTGAGCAAGTTAAACAAAAAGTCGAAAATGTACATCTAGCTGGTCGTTCCTCTATGCTTGTTATGAGTCAGCCTCCTAAACAAGGCGAAGAAGGAAGGCAAGATCATTTCCTTGTTTCTAACACGGGAAACGTTAAAATTGATGCTGAGGTACGTTTAATGATTAAATTACTTTCTGGCTTCTTTGTTTCAACTACTTTCTATACTAGTGTATATATTTTTAAGTTATGATTTAGTTACACTTTCCAGCTTTTCTTTACTTTAAGCAATAAAACTCATTCTGAGTAGTCAATAATTTTAAACAAATTTTAATTGATTGCGCAAAAATACTGCAAGACATATACTCGAATTACTAATATTTCTTAGCATAGACAATCATCTAAAAATATTTATTTTTTAGGTTATCCATATCGAAAGAATGGTACATCTTGGACCAAGTCATCTTGTAACTGTTCTACCAGGCCAGAGTCACATATTAGATCTTACTGGTGTTCATTTCCGCAACGCTCTTCTTAAAGTTACAAATCATGAAGAAGGAGAAGCTGTATTTTCCGCTGAAGGTGGCAATGTTCTAAAAGACTTTGAACAGTCTGTACAAAAACTCGAAAACGAACTCCAGGTTGTTCAAAAAGTTGAAAACTTCCATTTGGCTGGTCATTCTTCGGTGCTCGTTATGACTCAGCCTCCTAAACAGGGAGCAGAAGAAAGAAAAGATCACTTCCAAGTTACAAATAATGGAACTGTTAAAATTGATGCAGAGGTAAGGGTTTCTGTAATGGACTATATGCCTTCAGGTTATTATTTTCGTTATTTTTAAGGTGACTCATGTTGAAAGGATGGTACACCTTGGACCACGTCATCTAGTAACCCTTTTGCCTGGCCAGAGCCACACTTTCGATCTTAGTGGAATTCACTTTAATATGGCTGTCTTAAAGGTAGCAAATAATGAGGATGGAGAGGCTGTATTCTCTGCTGAAGGTGGCAATGTTCTTCAAAATATGGAGCGCAATGTACAAAAAGAAAGTGAGCAAGTTAAACAAAAAGTCGAAAATGTACATCTAGCTGGTCGTTCCTCTATGCTTGTTATGAGTCAGCCTCCTAAACAAGGCGAAGAAGGAAGGCAAGATCATTTCCTTGTTTCTAACACAGGAAACGTTAAAATTGATGCTGAGGTACGTTTAATGATTAAATTACTTTCTGGCTTCTTTGTTTCAACTACTTTCTATACTAGTGTATATATTTTTAAGTTATGATTTAGTTACACTTTCCAGCTTTTCTTTACTTTAAGCAATAAAACTCATTCTGAGTAGTCAATAATTTCAAACAAATTTTAATTGATTGCGCAAAAATACTGCAAGACATATACTCGAATTACTAATATTTCTTAGCTTAGACAATCATCTAAAAATATTTATTTTTTAGGTTATCCATATCGAAAGAATGGTACATCTTGGACCAAGTCATCTTGTAACTGTTCTACCAGGCCAGAGTCGCATATTAGATCTTACTGGTGTTCATTTCCGCAACGCCCTTCTTAAAGTTACAAATCATGAAGAAGGAGAAGCTGTATTTTCCGCTGAAGGTGGCAATGTTCTAAAAGACTTTGAACAGTCTGTACAAAAACTCGAAAACGAAGTAGCCCAGGTTGTAGGAAAAGTTGAAAATGTCCATTTGGCTGGTCATTCTTCGATGCTTGTTATGACCAGCTCTTCTAAACGGGGAGCTAAAGAAAGGCACTTCCGAGTTACAAATAATGGAAATGTTAAAATTGATGCTGAGGTAAGAATTATTAACTGCGGTACACTATGTACCCAGATAATAATACCATTTTTGATATTTTTAAGGTGACTCACGCTGAAAGGATGGTACACCTTGGACCACGTCATCTCGTAACTCTTTTGCCTGGCCAGAGCCACACTTTCGATCTTAGTGATGTTCACTTTAAACTAGCTATCTTAAAGATGGTTAATCATGAAGATGGAGAAGCTGTGTTCTCTGCTGAAGGTGGAAAAGTTGTCCGCGATATGGAGAAAAGCGTACAAAAAGTAGTTCCAAATGATCAGGCTAGACACAAAGTCGAAAATGTACGTCTGGCTGGTCGTTCCTCAATGCTTGTTATGAGTCAGCCTCCCCAACAAGGTGAAGAAGAAAGGCAAGATGAGTTCCTTGTTTCTAACAAAGGAAATGTTAAAATTGATGCTGAGGTATGTTGAAATTATTTTTTAATTACTTTCTGAATTCTTTGTTAGAAGTAATTTGTTATATTAGTATCTATATTTCGAGTATTTTGTTTTTAAACATACATATTAAAAAGAGAATATTGATTTTTTAGGTTATCCATGTCGAAAGGATGGTACATCTTGGACCAAGTCATCTGGTAACTATTTTGCCTGGAGAAAGCCACACATTCGATCTTATCAGTGTACATTTTCGTAATGCTCTCCTAAAAGTTGTAAATCACGAAGAAGAAGAAGCTGAATTCTCTGCTGAAGGTGGTATTGTTCTAAATGACTTTGAACAGAGTGTACAAAAACTTGAACATGAAGTCCAGGAATCACAAAAAGTTGAAAACTTCCATTTGGCTGGTCATTCTTCGGTACTTGCTATGACTCAACCCCCCAAACAGGGAACAGGAGAAAGAAAAGATCACTTCCAAGTTACAAATAACGGAAATGTTAAAATTGATGCCGAGGTAAGGATTTATATAATGCACTACATGCCTTTGTATTCATACTTTCGTTATTTTTAAGGTTACTCATGTTGAAAGAATTTTACACCTTGGACCACGCCATCTCGTAACCCTTTTGCCTGGCCAGAGTCACACTTTCGATCTTAGTGGAGTTCACTTTAATATGGCTGTCTTAAAGATAGCAAATCATGAGGATGGAGAGGCTGTATTCTCTGCTGAAGGTGGAAATGTTCTTCACGACATGGAGAAAAACGTACAAAAAGAAGAAATTGTAGAACACGTTGAACACAAAGTCGAAAATGTTCATCTGCCTGGTAATTCTTCAATGCTTGTTATGAGTCAGCCTCCTAAACAAGGTCAAGAAGAAAGAAAAGATCAATTCTTTGTTGTTAACAAGGGAAATGTTAAAATTGATGCTGAGGTATGTTTAATTATTGATTAAATTACTGTTTGTGTCTTCTTTAAGATTATTACTTTTTTATGTCAGTATCTATAATAATAGTCGGAAAACAGAAATAACAATATACAAAACACTAATACTGCCAGTGGTAATATATGAATTGGGGACCATCTCCAAGACAATAAAAACTTTTTATTAATATGTATTTGAACGAAGAATCCTGAGATGAATATTCAGTGGCATCTGTAAAAAATGTATTCGAAGGAGGAAATACAACTATGAGATATATCACAAATACAGATATCTGGTGGCAAAGACGTAATATCTCTTTTAAAAATAGGAAGACCAAGACGGGCAGGATATCTGGGCAAGATCACAGTAGAACAACCCTCCTAGACAAATCTTTATTTTACAGAAAGTAGGAACTAGACGAAGAGATAGACCAAAACTTAGATAGAAGGATGGTGTTAAGACGATGATGCTAGAAAAAGTGCAAGAAAAGAACAGTGCAACCATTGCAATTGATATAGCTAAGTGACGAAATGAACTTTGGAAGTTCGAGACTCTAATATAGGGTCGTAACATCGATGATGATGATCTATAATAATAATCATCATTTTGTAAAACATTTGTGCTGTACTTTAACTTAGGCGCTTTATTTTTTTATTCCTCCGAGTATCGAATAATTATTTTTTATATCATTGTTTTCTGTTATAAAAATATTGATATTTTTAGCTTATTCATGTCGAAAGAAAAGTACATTTTGGACCAAGTCATCTTGTAACTATTTTGCCTGGCGAAAGTCACACATTCGATCTTAGTGATTTACACTATCGTAAAACTCTCCTAAAAGTCATAAATTATGAAGAAGGAGAAGCTGTATTTTCTGCTGAAGGTGGTAATGTTCTAGAAGACTATGAACAGACTGTACAAAAACTCCTACGTGAAGTTCAGGTTACACAAAAAGTTGAAAACTTCCATTTGGCTGGTCATTCTTCGATGCTTGTTATGACCAGCTCTTCTAAACGGGGAGCTAAAGAAAGGCACTTCCAAGTTACAAATAATGGAAATGTTAAAATTGATGCTGAGGTAATAATTACTAACTGCTGTACACTATATGCCTAGATAATACTATTTTTGATATTTTTAAGGTTACTCATGCTGAAAGAATGGTACACCTTGGACCACGTCATCTCGTAACTATTTTGCCTGGCCAGAGCCACACTTTCGATCTTAGGGATGTTCACTTTAAAATAGCTATCTTAAAGATAGTTAATCGTGAAGATGGAGAAGCTGTGTTCTCTGCTGAAGGTGGAAAAGTTGTCCGCGATATGGAGAAAAGCGTACAAAAAGTAGTTCCAAGTGAGCAGGCTAAACACAAAGTCGAAAATGTACGTCTGGCTGGTCGTTCCTCAATGCTTGTTATGAGTCAGCCTCCCAAACAAGGTGAAGAAGAAAGGCAAGATCATTTCCTTGTTTCTAACAAAGGAAATGTTAAAATTGATGCTGAGGTATGTTTAATTATTTTTCAATTACTTTCTGACTTCTTTGTTAGGAGTACTTTGTTATATTAGTATCTATATTTCGAGTATTTTGTTTATAAATCTAAATATTAAAGAGAATATTGATTTTTTAGGTTATCCATGTCGAAAGGATGGTACATCTTGGACCAAGTCATCTGGTAACTATTTTGCCTGGAGAAAGCCACACATTCGATCTTAGCGGTGTACATTTTCGTAACGCTCTCCTAAAAGTTGTAAATCATGAAGAAGGAGAAGCTGAATTCTCTGCTGAAGGTGGTATTGTTCTAAATGACTTCGAACAGAGTGTACAAAAACTTGAACCTGAAGTCCAGGATGTACAAAAAGTAGAAAACTTTCATTTGGCTGGTCATTCCTCGATGTTGGTTATGACTAGTTCTAAACAGGGAGCAGAAGAAAGACACTTCCAAGTTACAAATAATGGAAATGTTAAAATTGATGCAGAGGTAAGGCTTTCTGAATATCACGATGTGCCTGCATATTGTTACTTTTGTTCTTTTTAAGGTTACTCATGCTGAAAGGATGATGCACCTTGGACCACGTCATCTCGTAACTCTTTTGCCTGGCCAGAGCCACACTTTCGATCTTAGTGGAATTCACTTTAAAATGGCTATCTTAAAGGTAGTAAATCATGAAGATGGAGAGGCTGTGTTCTCTGCCCAAGGTGGAACTGTTGTGCACAAAATGGAGCAAAGCATACAAAAAGAATCAGTTCCAAATGAACATGTAGAACATAAAGTGGAAGACTTTCATCTAGCTGGTCATTCCTCTGTCCTTGTTATGAGTCAACCCCCCAAACAAGGCGAAGAGGAGAGAAAAGATCAATTTCTGGTTTCCAATAAGGGAAATGTCAAAATTGATGCAGAAGTAAATATTATAGTTTTATTATTTTATAATATTACCCAAAACCACACAGTTCACAGTTAGCATTAAATTGCAGCATTTTATATCTCATAAAACATTAGTTAAACAAAGTCATAGCTAATGTATATTAAATAGTTCATTTTATACTGTCAAATAATTTGTTCCCACCTTTATTTTTTACAATTTAGCCTATTATTTAGTATTGTACAAGCGTTTCCTTTCTGTTTTTATTTACATCTTTTATGTTCTATGCTCGTCCATCTTGTTACTACATGTTTTTTGATGTCATCTGTCTATCTTTTCTGCGATCTTGCTCTTCAATGTTTATATTTCATGGTCTTCTAGTGCCTCAGATATTTGACCTCTAAAAATCATACGAACAAGCTGAATTTTTCTGTAAATGTTCTGTAAAATAAATTTGCTATTACCTCCGGACGTCCCATTCAGTGGAATTTTCGTCTCTAACAACTGAAGTATAAAAAATAAATTCGAATGTGTTTAGGTAATTAACTTTGAACTGTGCAACCCAGTATACATGCAAACTTTAAAGATCATTCAAACAATATTTTTTTAGGTCACCCATGTCGAAAGAATGATCCATTTAGGACCAAGCCATAAACAAACTCTCTTGCCTGGTGAGACTCACACTTTCGATCTTAGCGGTGCCCACTTCAGATTAGCTGTTCTTAAAATTACGAATCATGAAGATGGGGAAGCTGTTTTTTCTGCCGAGGGCGGTAATGTTTTAAACGGTTTTGAGAACAACGTACAAAAAGTTGAACACGAAACACAAGTTGTACATAAGGTTGAGAACTTCCATCTTGCAGCTGACTCCTCAGTGCTCGTTATGACTCAACCTCCCAAACAAGGAAATGAAGAAAGGAAAGATTATTTCCTTGTAAGCAACAATGGAAAGGTCAAGATCGAAGCTGAGGCAAGTATTTAAATATATATGGATATTGTTATTACCTTATTTATAAGTTTGAATTATTATTTCTAAACGGGCAAATTTTTCTAGGTTACTCACGTAGAAAGGATTCTACACCTTGGACCACGTCATGTAGTAACTCTTTTGCCTGGTGAAAGCCATACCTTCGATCTTAGTGGTGTTCATTTCCGCATGGCTGTTTTGAAAGTTACCAATTATGAAGACGAGGAAGCAATCTTTTCAGCAGAGGGAGGCAATGCCCTTCAAAATTTAGAAAAAAATGTACAAAAAGTAGAACACATTGAACACAAGGTTCAGAACGTTCGTCTGCCATCTCACTCATCGGTACTTGTTTTGGCTCAACCACCAAAAGAGAACGAAGACCATAGGAAGGATTACTTCCGTATTAGCAACAACGGAAATGTCAAGATTGATGCTGAGGTAAGTTCAAGAATTGCCACTAGCAATTATTTTGCTAATTTTTCCTATAAAATTATCCAACTACTCAATAAGTCATAACTTTTCGAAAGGAAAGTTAAAATAAATAAAGTATCGTATAATACTGCTGGGTATTGCTGGTCAGTCTGGAGGGCGTCTAAGAGTTGCTCTATGGAGTTGCATCAAAAAGTTCTGATTTCGGGTCTAACCTGAATGTAGGAAAAACGTAGTTTGTTGGTGATTTCAAAAACAAAAAATATCTTAGGCATATTGAAATTGAATGGCCAAAAAATACCTAGAATGGAAACTGAAATACTGAATATAGTTTCCACATTCCTTACATCATACCAGTTCCCTACATCTTGAAGCCACGGTTTTTCTATATTCTAGTCCACTTTGTCTTCCACTTTTAAAGTATTGGTCTGAATACTTAAATAATAGAGATTATGAGACGTTGCAATGGTTCACCGAATGCAGAAACTCTCTAACAGTTTCAGATATACATAATAGTTTTTTCCGTAACGTTTAACAGAGAACTTTCCGTAACGTTTATCTATATGCAATTCTGAAGTCTTAGGTTTATTGGCCATATTGCAGCGCAGTATACGATTATAGGCAGTATGTATCACTTGACCATGTGCAGTAGTAAGTCAAGAGGAATCTCTTAGACAGTGGCAGGTATTTATTGAATTGAAGGAATATAGTTCCTCCTCTATTACGTAGATTTTCTATTCGTATCCCGTTCACTTTTAATATACACCCCTGCTGAACACCTTTTATGCGCAATTACTCTGGAGGGGGACAGCCTCACTTAATTAATTCGAAAAATAATATTTTTCTTGTTTCTCTTTATTGGCAATTCTGCTTGTTCTTTGGAATGATACTTTCAATGAAAGGTTGCTACTCTATCTTTTGCGCTATCGTTCGATACTACTTCTACCGATTGGTGATTTGTCTCGTGCTATTTGCAAGCAACATTAGTGTATCATAAGATAAGTAACTTAAAACTACTTTTAATTGCAAACTGTTAACATAATTATGGTTCTCAGTTGCTGAGAATTATCACTTCTTTAGCTACAAAGTTATAAATCCTTCCTCTTCAGCTTGTGTGGTGCAGGATTTTAAGCCATGAATAATATTAAATCCAAACGGGAGAAAAATAGCTTAAAATAATCTTCTATACAGACGACGCAATAACATCTACTACTTTCTCAAAGTGAAGATGATTTACAACGTATGCTGCACCAATTCAATATAACCGCTAGAAAATATGTAATTTTTTTAAATATCTTTTGTTTTCTATATATGTAGATTGTCCAAAACGATCTTGAACAAGCACATACCAAAAGCCTTTTACCTGGTGAGAGCCACACTTTTGACCTGAACGATAATCAGTTCCACTTGGCTCATTTGAAAGTATCCAATCTTGAAGATGGAGAAGCTGTCTTCTCTGCTGAAGGAGGGAACGTTCTCCATGATTTCCTAAATAACATACAAAAGGTGGTAGCCGAGAAGCCCAAACATAAACTCGATCATTTCCTATTGCCCCCTAGAAGAACTGTTTTGGCATTATCTCAGAACGGTGTTGAAGGTGAAGAAAATAATAAGTATACCATTACCAACCATGGACCCGCTGATCTTTTTGTTGAAGTAAGTATCTTCTTAATAAATATTAGCAGTGTTATTGTTATTATGTTATCAAGAATTTTAATTTTATAACTCTTTGTACTCTTCTTTGAAAGGTTGTACATATTAATCACATCTACGATGCTCCACACTGGTACGTCGTCAGGCCAGATGAAACCACAGAAATTCCAATTAACGAGCATCTCCAACGCAATCTTTTACGATTGACCAATAACAGTTACAAAGACGAAGTAGTCGTCAGTGCTGAAGGCGGTCACGTTCTTCAAGGTATTGAGCACAACATTGAACAACTTTCAAAGGCAGACAATTCCGGAAATGTATTAACTAAAGTAGAGAACTTTTCGTTGCCCCCAAGAAGCTATATTGTTGCTTTGAGTCAAAACGTTGAAGGAAGCAACGAACATCCTGGAAAGTACATCGTAACGAACCATGGTAAAGCTGCTTTCGATATTGAAGTAAGTTGAAACAACAAAATAGTTATTTTTTATCTAAATAAATATTTTTCTTAGTTGAAACGTACATCACCTGTTCAAACACTTGATCTTCATCGCAGAACAGTTCAGCCTAATGCAACTGAATATTTTGAACTCACAGCCCAATTCCAAAATACAGTATTGGAAGTTATCAATACCAGCCAGACTGAAACAGCAGTCTTTACAGGTAAAAATTTTTTATTGCTTAAAAATATCAAAATAATATTCTCTTTAAAGCCCATTCATTATCTAATATCTATTATAATACTTTTTTAGCCGAAGGAGGCGATGTTATGCATGATCTCCAAGATGAGATTAAAAAACTGGATGTTCAAGAACAAAGTACCCTCGACAAAATTATAAATTCCTTAGAAAACCTTCGTTTGAATGCACGCTCACGCGTCTTGGCTTTGGTATATGATCCCAAAGATGCAACATCAGCAGAAGAAAAAGGTTTTACTATTACTAACCACGGAAAAGTCGACGTAGAAGCCGAGGTAGGTTTTTCATAGAAGACAGTGAAATGCGTTTTGACATTTACTGAATTCAAACTTACATGTAACTTTTAGGTTGTTTACACCGACAGTGATGACCGTGGCAAAGACGAAATCAAAGTCATTAAACCCAATGAAACTGTAGTAATTGAGCACGTTAAAGATGCTGGAAAGGCTGTATTAAACATCTTAAACAGAAGTTACAAGGAATTGGGACTTATTACTGGTAAGTCCTTGCATTGCTTCAATTTTATTTAAAATATTCTTTATTGAAGACTTTTTATTGCATGAGATATATTGAATTTTGTTAATACTTGATCCTCTGTAAGAAATCTCTTAGTTTTTTTTATATCGAATCTTCAATTATTTGTTCTCTCGTTGACTTTCCAAACATAGACATAATTTTTTGATGCGTTTTTTTCAGTCAAGGGAGGTAGAGTAATTCACGAACTGGAAAGAAAAATAAAGAAACTCGCATCTGACAATGAAGTAGTCCTAGAATTAGATCGTTTCCATTTGGCACCTAACTCTTCGGTGGTTGTTATGCACCAAATTGGTAAATACAAACGAAGATTTGAAAACTTTGGTGTAGGCCTTAAATCTAGACTTGGTGGTATTCAGAAATCTATACAAGAGGTACGCCAAAAACTTGAAGGAGAAGGTGAACATCATCCGGCCCAAGGTGAGCATCATCAACCTCAAGGAGAGCATCATGAACGGGAAGGTGGACATCAACAAAATGAGCATCATAAATTCGTGGGAGTCCATGATAAACTAATTAAACGTAGACAAGTTCTTCACGATAGATATACCATCACTAATTATGGATACCACCCAATTACTGTTCAGGTGAGCATTTATTTTACTGACATCGTTTAATTTATTATATATACTAGCTAGAGACAGCTCTGGTTCTTACGTTATGGAACGCATGAGCCCAAGATTCAGAAGTGGTGACGAAATCACTCACCATTTCATCATTTTATCAGTATATTGTAAATTTTAAATAAAGTTCGATGCCAGTTTTTTACTTCTATATGGTATGTATTTAATCCTTCTGTATCTTTTCTTCTTGTTAAGGATGTAGTGACTTGTATAATTCGTTTGACTATTATTGTCCAATTATCTCTCTCCTCTGAATGTTGTTTTTCTCTTCCGTGCGTGTTGTTTGTCTTCGGATAATAGGTAACCAGTCATGTCTTTTATTTTATTCAATCATAGTGCTGGAGATCTTGCACGGGATTTTTTGCCCGCTATGTTGCTTTTAATCATCATTCGTTCCATGGCTCTCGTCTTCTCGTCTTCTTCTATTTATATGTACAAAATATCTTAGTATCTAACAATAAAACACTAAAAACTTTCCCATGTGAGAAAGGCCAAAACAGCGGTAGTGATAGTAAATTATAATACAAATTGTGAAAGTGTTAAAAACAAAAGTTTTTAGTATTTTATTGTTAGATTAAATGAATTTTCATAAGTAACGGTCGAATCCATCACTTATAACTTCTACATTTCAGTTGATAGTTATGGCGAGTCTAGTGTTTATAAATATGTTAAGTTCTTCTAGTTGAAATATGGGATGTGCGGTCTATGGTAAGCGCAACATTCTACGATAGACTCACATTTTAGACGCCAATATATGCTTCGAATCAGATGTTTTGATAGTCCATGTTTCTGAAGGATAGGTTTGAACAAGGCGTAGTTTGGTGTTTTTGTAATGTTAGTGTCCTGTCATATTTTTATGGGCCTGGCTGTTATTGATCTGATCATTGTGATGCATCGACGAATCACGTCTTCGTAGCCTCCAGTATTCGTGATGACGGAGCCTAATTTTTTGGGTGTTTCGGAACCAACTGTTGCCTTTTATTTGGAATTCTCTTACTCTCAAGCTTAATTCGAAATTCTGCTTGTAAAATTTTGTAGTCGGAACCACAGTCTACAGCTGGCTTTGTCTGCACAATAATTACTGAGCTCCTCCATCATTTGACAAGAATATAATGTATTTGGTTTTTGTATTGTCCTACAGGCGAAGTTCATATTGACAATCTTCGCGGATGAAGTTTAAATATTGTATATATTAAGATAAGTATTGATGGCGAACTAGAACAACTATAGAGAATTACCAACCAAAGAGAAGAGAAGAAAAGAGGATATACAAAAGGAAGAAATGAAACGACTTAAATAAATAAGGAACTTAAACATATAGAAAACCTGAACAGAGAGAAATAATTCAGAGCATTATATAAGAAAGTTATATAACCACCAGAAAGGTTACACCACCAGAAAAGAATTCAAGGCAACCACAAGACAATGCAGAAGTCAGAATGGTGACCTATTAACAACAAGGAAGGATGTATTGAATAGATGGGTGGAATACTTTAACCAAGCACGTAAGATAGAGGAAGAAGAAGAAAACCTGGAAGACGAAAAATGAAGTAAGGGAAACAGACGAGAGAGAAGAGGAACCACCAAGGATTCTTGAATTTAAAGGTGCAGTTAAAAACTAGCCATGAACAAATTTCCCTGAAGAGATAATCTCCCAGCTGAACTATATTAAGAAGGTGGCCACGATACCATAATGGCATTACAGCAGCTTATAAAAGAAATATGGAAACAGAAATCCCTTCCCAATGATTGGAATATTGGAATACTTTGCACCATACACAAAAAAGGAGATATCTTTAAATGCTCTAACCACAGAGGAATTACCCTTCTAAATGCAGCGTATAAAATATTTTCCACAGTACTATGTTACCGTATGGCACCATATGCAGAAAGGATAGTAGGAAAATTTCAGGCTGGTTTCAGAGGTGGTAAATCGACAATTCATCAGATTGCAACTCTGAAACATATTTTAGAACAAAACACTGGAATATGGCATAGATACTAATCACATATTTATAGTGATGAATAGAAGAGAAATGTTCAAAGCAATAAAAGAGCTAGAAATACCAAATCAGTTGGTAAATTTAACAAAATTGACTCTTGAAAAAGTTGAATGTAGAGTACGAATTCAGGGAGAACTGTGTGAACCTTTTGAAACAAATAACAGGCTGCGCGAGATAGACCCTTTTTCCTGAATACTGTTCAATCTAGCTCTTCTTCTTCTTCATGTGCCTTGTCCGTTTCAAACGTTGGCAATCAACATGGCTATTCTGACTTTGTTTACGGCAGATCTGAATAGTTCAGCAGATGACAATCCGAACCATTGCCGCAAGTTTTGGAGCCACGAGTGTCTTCTCGTCCCTGAACCCCTTCTGCTTTCTATCTGGCTCTAAAAAAAGTAATACATACGTTACAAATCACAACCATTGGTTATATATAGTAAATCAGTGCAAATCCTTGCCTATGCTGATGATATCAATATTGTTGGGAGAACGGAACACGCTGTACGAGGGGCATATGTAGCATTAAGAGAATCCGCTACAAAAATGGGTTTAATAATAAACACCAACAAAACGAAGTATATGAAAATAAGCACGCAACCACAAATCCTACTACCAATTGTTATAGAAAACGACGACATCGAAGCAGTGAACGAATTTGTATACCTGGGAACGCTCCTTAACACTGAAAATAATACTACCGCAGAAATAGATTCGCACTCTTATTGACAAGAAATATTTCCTTCCGGTTAGTCTTTTTTTTAATTGCCAGATTTCAGTAAGAACCTAAGAAGGTATCTATTGAATTCTGGCAGGCAACGGTGGGGGAAATTTTTTTTTGGACATCTACGTCACGAAATAAGACACCCTGGCATCTTTCGGCCGAGTAGGATACTAGGCCAGAAGACCCTAGGGTAGTGCCGGATTAACCGTGTTTCGGCTACAACCTTAACCACCGTTCCAGAGAGGTGGTCTTGCCACTCAATAAACAACTAAAATAAAAAACTAAAAATTTATAAATAACCATACCTATTACTGTAAATCAGAAAATGTTTTAGACGTTAGGCCATAAACTAATAAATAATATTAACCATAAATTTCAGATCCCTGGTTCAATTTCCTCCTCTGTTCTCCTGCTTCTTTTTCTTCATCACCACAGAAATCAGACAGTCTACTTCTCTCCATTCTTTCTCTCCTCTCTACATTTTGTTTACAATGTTTCTTTCATCCAGCCCGAAACCCATTCGCCTCTCGAAATTTCACTTCTTATTTGCCCATCTCTGGCAGTTAAAAATGTGGGCGGGAGCGTCCAGTATTCCACAAACAGTACAATCTGCCGAGGCAGATTTGCCTATTCTATTTGTGAAGGTGCCGAAACTACAATGTCTAATCAGAAACTGCGTCAGGAAGTAGTCTAGTTTGCTGAACTTACATTTCCACCACGGTCTCAAATCGAGAATAAGCTCCTTCGTCCACCTTGCCTTTCCACTATCATTCGCCCATTCTCTCTGCCACTCTACTATCGTTCTTTCTCTCTCATTCTTATCTATATTTCCGTTTAGTCTATCATACATTTTGTCAACTGCTGATAGAGAAACCTTAGAATTACTAATAAATTTTATTAAAGATGTAAAAGTTGAAATATAAATTAGTATAACTTCAGTGACTACATATATTTAAAAGATAGAAAGATAGAAACAAAAGATAAAAAAATTCTTTAAACAAAAATAAAACATTACGTGGCTGATGGATTTGTTTCCATGCCATATCTTTCACAAACACGTACTCTATTTCCCGCCTTCTTTTTTAATCTTTCCTGTCTGATCTAATCTCTTTCATGAGATTACTTTTGAAATTTCTGTTTATGTACCTCTTACTTGTTTTGGATATTTTTCCATCATGATGCTAGTGTTATGTGACTGACTGGTACGCACTCCATGTACTCCAACAGATGCTATTTTCGACTTAATCTCCTCCTTAAATCCACAATTATATCGAGAAATACAAAAACACAACTCTGCAAAATAATAATACGCCCAATCCTAACATATGGTTCAGAGACCTGAACTCTAACAAAAAATAATGAAAACATGTTAAAATGTTTGGAAAAAAAGGAGCAAGGCGAATCTATGGAGGAGTGAATGACAATGAAGTGTTTAGAAAACGATACAATGGGTGGAATGCATAAAACGTAGTATCTGCTAATGCTTCAAGTAATTCAACATTTTTGTAGTACTTGCTACACTTACAAAGCATTTTTCTTTCCTCCCTAGTATTTACTACTATTTACCAGATACATAGCAGGATGTACTACGCTTTTGAAGTATTTGCTAGTTTAGTAGAATTTGCTTCAGTTTAGGTGAAGTTGGTAGATAAACAACTTCGGCTTAGGTGGGTTTTGTTATGTTTGTTTTATGGCAGCATTTATGAATGTTCGTCGTAGAAAAATCTACCAACCAGGAAGAATATACAATGACGATATTTATCGTAAAATATTCAGGTAATTATCATGAATCGTGCAGTTTTATTCATACAGTGCGCTGAAATATGTGTAACCCCCCATATTAACTCATTTATTTTTAGTATATACGCAAAACACTCGATTTTTAAAATAATTATAGTATATTATAGCATCAGGAGAGTAGGGGGCGGGTAAGACTTATTTAGCTTACTGCATATGTATATATATTTAGGTATTAATATAAAATCTTTATAAAAAGTTGAAAAATCACATGAAAAACTAGTTCTAATACGATTGGTGTGATGCGCACAAGGGCACTACGGCTGGCGTTACGTTTAGTAGTAGAACCTTCAGGTCAGTAGCAAGTACTTCGGTTGTGTAGTACGGTCTTTTCAACAAAGCACCTCCTTTTATGTAAAAGTAAATGCTACAAACCAGATACTATTTGCTGAAGCAAGAGCATCTACTACTTTTTATGCATTCCACCCAATTTTGAACTTTATAGTATATACCAGGAATCAGATATCGTAAAACATATTAAGATAGGACGTTTGAGGTGGATAGGAAATGTAATGCGGATGGAACAAAATGACCCACCTAGAAAAACGCTTCTTAATAGACCAATTGGTCAGAGAAGAAGAGGAAGATCCGGAACAAGGTTCCTTGTTCCGGATCTTACTGAAGACATGAGAAATATGGGAATACGTGCTTGGAGGAGGAAGACGATGGATAGGAACGACTGGAGAGAAATTCTTGAGGAGATTAGGACCCACGCAGGGTTGTGAAGCCAGAATGATGATCGATGACGAACTAAAGGAGCCGTTCACCTCTGTCATTTCGCTCGCACGTTTATCGTTTCTTTGAAAGAGTCATATGTTTTAATTTGTCGTATTTTTTCATTCCAATCTCCTATTATCATCATTGGTTCTTTCATTAGGAATGTTGGAGATGGTTTCGTATATCAGGTAGTATGTTTCTTCTACTGTATCTTCTGTAATTTCGGATTTTGGTATATATACCTATATAATGTTCACATTGTGTGGTTTAGCGACGTCCATGAGTTTAGAATTTAGGGTTATTTTGATTAATCGATCATTTACTCAAAGGTATTTATGTACATATTTCGCCCAATGTTTTTGAATTATTATTGCTATGCCTTTTTGTCCTGATTTGTTAGCTTTTAACAGCTCCCCAAACTTTGTAGTGAGGGACTGTCCATATTTCCCTGGCCTTCCTTGTGTCTCAGATATCCCGCAAATATCTACCTTCTCCTTGATCTAATATATACATTTCCTAATATATGGAGTTTACCTGGGTTTATCAGCCATCTAACAATCGACGTTATGATGTGGTGTTTTCTATGTAATGCTGAATTTGTTATCCCAGGATCACATTTCGTAGATATTGTCTAGTCATCTACAATCATCTACCCGGTCGAGTGGCGGATCTAGACATTTGCCTTGGAGATGAAACTTCAAATGAAACACCAACCAAAAGACATAAAAAAGATAAAACCCAAATAACATAAAAGACATTGAGTTCCCTTAATTTTCCTATTTAGTGGGTTTATTATCTCTGGTAAGAATCAGGTGGTTTCCCATTGCCTGCCTGATCGCAATATCACCGCCGGTATTTTACACCATACCTGTATGGATCATACAGTCCCAGTGCCATTATGACATAAGTAGCTGCCCTATGTCATGCCCTTAGTAGATCTGCGTGTACTTATTGGGTTAAACCTTTGTCGTACCTGTCCTACATATCTACAGGAACGTTCCTTATCAGCCATTGAGACACGCCTGTCGAGGTTGAGGACTTCCCTCGCCCAGTCCGTCTTCCGTGAAGTATTGAAAAGCCCCTTCTTATTTCATAGATCCCACTCCACGCAAGTTAAGACCGGCACGAAGGTATTTAATGTTATACCCATTTGATACAATTTTAGATTACAATTTTAAGATACAATGTCAAATATATGCTTATTAAAAAAATATGCAGCACCTATATTTACCACCTATTTTTACTTTTATATAGGATGCGATATCTAGCATTAAAATATTATTCTTCCTCTAATATAACTTCACTCGATATCTAGCATCAACATATTATTCTTCGTTTAAAATAACTCGTTTTTGAATTATGTCTTTCCTTTTATAGATCGTTCACCTAAGAAAAGGAGATGCCGATGAGGTGCTTCGTAGCCAGGTCGTGAAACCAAATGAAACCCAGGAACTACTTCTTGAAGGTATCGAATCGTCTTCGCTAAAGGTTATCAATGAAAGTTCAAAGGACATTGCTATTTTCTCTGCAGAAGGAGGAGAAGTCATTCACGGAGTTGAACATTTAATTAGACAAATACATAGAGGCGATGGTATCCAAAGTGTTTTGTGGCGTTCAAGACGTGAATAAAAATTTGAAATAAAGTGTACAATATTTTGAGCAAAGATTGTTTTTATTTAATAAATACTCTACAGACTAAAGCCCGGTATTTTTAATCTACAGTATGTAAAATCTTCGTAGAATACAACTGTTTTCTTTGTACAATTTTAATAAAAATACTTGCGTGCTGAATTTAAGTAAATACCAATGGTTAGAAGTTAAAAAAAAAATGACAATGAAAGTCACAAAGAAAAAAAAGAAAAAAATGTAATATAAGTAACGATAAAACACAAATAAAGGGCCAGATGAATGAAGGGGCTAAGTCAGAAGTACAAAACTTTTCAGGGGAGCACTTTTAAGGTCAATTTCTTATACACTACAGTAATATAATTTTATGTAAATTAAACAATTGTATGTTAAACAATTTAGAAATGTACACTTCTTCTTGATGTGCCTATCCATTACGAATGTTGGCGATCATCATGGCCATCTTTATCTTATCTGCAGCAGCGCGGAAAAGCTGCACAGATGTTGTATTGAACCAGATTCTGAGGTTCTTTAACCAAGATGTTCTTCTTCTTCCTGGACGTTTTCCAAATATTTTTCCTTGCAGGATGGCTTGCAGGAGAGCATATCTGGATTGATTTCGCATAATATGTCCGAAGAATTGTAACTTTCGAGATTTAATGGTGGTCAGTACCTCTCGGTTCTTATTCATTCTTCTGAGGAACTCCTCATTTGTGACTCGGTCAGTCCACGGGATCTTAAGTATTCTCCGATATAGCCACATTACAAATGCTTCCAGTTTTTTGCACATATCTTCGTTCAAGGTCCACGATTCAACACCATAAAAAGGACAGAGAAGACGTAGCATCGCAGCATTCTTACTTTTTTATCAAGAGAGAGGTTGTGACTCTTGAAGAAGGCCCCCATCCCATTACCATACCAACATCATACCAACAGCATTTGTGAACCCGAACTGGTTGGGAGAAATCGGACTTTCACAGAGCTTGTAGATTCTCTTATTAATTATCTTTAGGAACAATTTTAGAAGATGACTCATTAGGCTTATAGTACGGTAATCTTCGCATTTTTTGGTTCCTGGATTTTTTGAAAGTGTAATAAACTCAGATTTCAACCATTCTGTTGGTATTTCTCCAGAGTTGTATACGTTGTTGAATATCTTTGCGATTATTGCTATTGATTATTTGTCCATTAGTTTGAGTAGTTCTGCTTGTATATTATCAGGGCCTGCCGTTTTGCCATCCTTTAACTGTGTTATTGCGAAGTAAACTTCCTGCTGTAATATTCTTGGTCCATCATTTACCTCTTCTTCTAGCTCAAAAGTGTTATCTGTGTGGTCTTCAAATAGTTTTTCTAGATATTCTTTCCACTTTCTTATTTTACTCTGTTTGTCCAAGATGATGTTTCCGTCAGAATCAGTTATATTTCCTTTCTGGTTTCGTCTTAGTCCTCCTGTGAGTTCTTTAACTTTTCTATGTACCGGGTGGTCCAATAAGCCGATCTCTCGGCTATATATCAGACTATTCATGTTATAACTTTAGAAGAAAAAATTTCTTAGTAAAAGTTGCCAAAAAAATCGCTGTAAATAACTTTCAAGTTTTTGGGTTAACCGCTAGGGGGCATAACTTGTAAAGAAAACTTTGAAAACCAGTTTTTTGAGAAATATGCCCAATTATACCAAGTGTTAAATAAGTATACTAGAAAGAGGCCCAAATTCCGCACAAAGTTGTTCAATTTTTTTTTATTTTTTTAAATAAAGGGTGGGGGAGAGTGGGAAAGTATTTGTGGATAAATACCTATAACTTTATTTTGGATCAACCGATTTTAACTAGTCTCAGACTAGAAATTAGTCTCATTAAAAAGAGTATGGATAATTTAATTTACATCTACTATAAAACAATTGAATTTAGTTTTAATTGTCATGGGTAGCGGGTACTTTTGAAAAGAAAAAATTAAAATTTATTTTTCTTCAAAATGTTTAATGAATACACCTATTTACTGTAAATTATAATGGAACTGGATTAAAGTCGTAACAAAACGGCAAAAGTTTTCTGCGAATATTTCTAGGAGGTCTCCTCTCTCGTTTCTGACTCAATGTCCATGTGCTCCAGTATACTGTATTTTATCTCCAGCTCCAATCTTGGCATTAAAATCACCCATAATTATGAGAACTTCCTGTCGAGGAATTTTCTGTTGATGTTCTGATAGAACTCAATTGCTTCTTTCTCCTCTTTGCCTGCAGTGGGAGCATAGACTTGTTGAATCGTGTTTAAATTAATATTTTAATCTAAACTAAATCTATTTGTACAAAACTTTTTACTAATTCTTTCCACGAAGATTCTTTTCAAGAAGTTACTTCTTTGTTTTGGGATTGTCATTGTGCTTAAGTTTAGAGAAAAATTTTTCAGCAGCAATGTTGGAGCAGAATTTTGGCAGTTTTCCTAAATTATATTTTTCACTCGATGTAGGCGGTGTCTAACTCGATGTAGGCGGTGATAACTTAGTGTTAGTTAGACAAAACTTATTTTTTGTTTAATTAGGGCATTTACTACAATAATATTAAAAATTCTCATTTGTTTACCAATAATGTTGAATCAAAACTTATCTTCATAAGATGAATCAGGGGAAAGTTGGTAGGATTGTAAGTCTTGTTTGGGAAAACTTAATTTCTTTTAAGGGTTTTATTCTAATGGTTAGATACTCGTCATAGATAAGATTAATATGTTGACTCCACTTCTGCCGAAACCTTTGATCTATTTCTTCAACGATAAAGGAAGATGGTCTTTATCTACAATCTCTTATGTGCAGGGCCCACTCATAAGGCAGTTCAGCTATAAAATTTTGGTTTATTAAAGCCATGTTTTTATTGTTTTCCATATATGAATGTCCTCTGATGGGAAACCGATTTAAACCTCTTTTGTACATGCACCATGTAGTGAAGAAAACAAAATACTATTGTATTTTTATCTTGCCCTCCTTTAAAGTCAGCGAAGATGTGCAGATTTTCAACACTTTGTGGTGAGTATTTAAAAAGTGTAAATATCATTCGGGTAACAACATCACTGCCCTTTTTACCACCTGATCCTGGGTACAGGTAAAATACACTTTTACTGTTACTTAAAATGTGCACATTAAAAAAGAACACTGACAGTTGTCTTTTGTGGTAGACATCATTAGGTACACATACGTTTTTCCCAAAAATCTACACAGATTGATTCAAAGGAATCTGTCTTTTTGGAAACTAGTCCTGCTTTATTTCAACTTAACATGTATTTGTTCGAAATATTGTAACAGGCATTGAAAATATTTCTATATGAGTCAACAGAAAGCTGAACATTTGAGTTAGCCACTTTAAAAAGTCGGAACATTTTTGGTACATTAGGGTCTTCTGGTAGATACTCTTTTTTACAGTTCTTAAGAGTTTACCTCGCTGGTCATTAGAAGATATGTCACTCATTTTTAGTGAGTTTATCAAGTACTTAATTTTTTTAAGAAGAAAAATCCTAAGAGGACTGCTTCATTAAAGTATCGTATTGTGGAGGCCGTTCAGCAGATTAAAGAAGGGAACAGCATAAGGCAGGTAGTAAAGACTTATAGTATTTCAAAATCGGCTCTTGGAAAGCTCGGCTCAGTTCATGGAAAGTTAACATCTTGTGGAGCAAGCTTACCCTTTGACAGTAACGCAGAAGAACATTATTGCTATTTTACGAAAGATTGCCATCTACCCTTTCAACAGTGAGCCATTCACCGAAACAGAATTTCTAATGTCTTCAGTAACTGACAAGCCTCCTCCATCTGCACAAGCTAATGGTACTTCTTATTCAGCAGAACAAGAATATTCTAAAATTGATCATACAGGCACTTCACATCATTCCTCAAAGGATCCTTCTACATCTTTTGAAAAACTATCAACCTCTGAAGACTCTATCGGCACTCAAGAACTTAAAATGCAAATGAAAATTATGATTACATCTGAGCAAATCCGAACATTTCCTAAAGCTGCACAACGCAAATAAGCTCGACGAGGAAGGAAGAGAGGCAGAAGTCGTATTTTAACTAGTACACCAGAGAAAGCAGAGGCCGAAAGATTAGCTCTCGAGATAGAAAGGAAGAAAACTGGTAAATTATCTGTAGCCATCCGCGATAAAGCTAATAAGAAGAAAGTTTGTGAAGATTCTGAGTCTTCGTCCGAGGAAGTACGAATTCCATATCAAAATACAGATGATGATCTAGAAATGTCTCTGAGTTCTGAGGAGGATGAAATGGAAGAAATAGATTGGAATAATAGTTCTATGAATCTTAAGACTGACGATTTTGGGCTTGTTAAATTTTTTACTAAAAAGTCTGTTGTTTATTATGTTGGGGGAGTAATGAAGTGTGATTCATTTGATGAAGTTGAAGTTCAATTCATGCATAAAAAAGGAGGAATCTGGAAATTTTATTATCTGAATGTGGTGGACAATAGCGTTATTGAGAAACAGGATATATTGTTTAAATTGCCTGCACCAATATCATCTGGAGGTACAGAGTAAAATCATTGTTTGTATTTCCGGTTAAATTGTCAAAAGACAACGTACAATAAAGAAGTTTCTATTGTGTTGAAAAAAAAAACATTTATTACATCCTGTTCCGGACCTCCTTAGTAGTGTCCCACTCCTCCAGTGGTATGGGTGGTATGGGACATTTGCAACTCCTCACACTATCCATTATACTTCATTTTAAACAATACTTATATCAGCCATTTTTTTTAAATTGAGTAGGCCAAAGGGCTATCTAACATATCCTAGCATTATTATTTCACAAGGAGCAAATAAATAATTAAAAAAAAATTATTCAAAAAGTGTCCCACACCTCCCACTTCTCTCATACACATGATACATCTTTTAACTTTGCGTTTTCAATGCCAACCCTAGACCTACGCTTTTGTACTTGTAAGATAGAAATCAAGCCACATAAGTAAAAATTCTGTTTATTTGTGTTCGCCAACAAGTTAAATTTGTTAATTATACTATCTCTAACCATAAAATGAATGGAGAATAATCAGAGCCTCCCTCATACAGCGAAGTATTGGCGACCATAAACAGATTAAAGACAAGGAAAGCAGCAGGACCAGACGATATTATAAATGAGTTCTTCAAGAAAGGGGGAGAGGAACTAGCCCACAGAATCCACAACCTTTATTTATTTTTTTACGCACAACAGGCCGTTAAGGCCTAGGGCAATCCACAACCTAATAGAACGAATATGGGAAGAAGAACGCATACCGAACGACTGGAATTGTATTCTGATAACACCAAACCCTAAAAAAGGCGACAAGACGAAATGCACTAACTACTACAGGGGAATCACGTTATTTATACTGTAGCCCATTTATACTGTAAAAAACCCATTTTTTTACAGATATATTTAGTGGCTACATTCATGAACTCTTAGTAAGTATTAACCACACTTTGTATTAACCTTAGTCAAAATTTTAAACCTACGTTCTTTTTAATTAAGTGGTTAAATATTTTCTAGGACACTGATGATGGAAAATGGATTCCGAAAACGTTGTGTCTTTTTAACTTAGCCCGTTTGGGTTCTTAATATATACCTTTTACAAAGGATTTTTAATAAATTTTTTAATATATGGTATACAGCCAACTACATTGTGGAAGTCTATTTCCGATTTTTAGGTAAGTAGTGTTATCCCTGTATACTTCTATGATCTTATATACTAACACGCTAAGCCCTTTTCTTGTCCACCCCTTTACTCAAAAACCATATTAGATAATTAAAATATTTTTTCGGAATATTATTAGTATTACGTATGAGATTGTCAAGATATACTTTTGGTACAATAATTCACTTCCGGTTTTGAGATGACCGGAAGTTAAAATTTACTTTAAGTTTTAGACCCCACAATGTATATGGATCGAAAGGTCTCGTCGAGACGAATTTAAATATGTACTTCCGGTTGCGATCCGACACCGGAAGTGACCCGAAACGCGCATAAAACGTCAAGATAGAGCAAATCTGACACCGGATTCGTGATCAACATGCAAAATTAACTGCTAAATGATATCCATGTCGACATTTGATGAACTAAAAATTGCATTCCGGTTTTGAGGTCGACTTCCGGTTTCGTTTTTATTAAAAAGTAAAAATTTCATTTAAAAAACTCGATGTCGAGTTGGTCCGCTAGTTATTCCTAAAAGCTATGGACTAATGCTGAGTTGTCGTAAAACTTGCCACAATTTAAGTCTTGAAACTGTATCATATGCCTTTTCTAGGTCGATGAAGGCTAGATGTACTTCGGTACCAACCGCTATTTTTTTCTATTAATTGTTGGAGTATAAACAAGTTATCGGTGCACGATCTACCAGGCGTAAATTCACTTTGGTCTTCGCTAATTAGATGTCCTACATCATCTTGTATTTTTCCATTTATTATCTTTCCAAACAATCTTCCGAAAGTAGGTAGAACACTTAATCTTCTGTAGCAGTTAGGATCTTTTCGAGTACCCTTTTTAAAGATGGACTCTTGGTGAGCGGTTTTCCATTCAGATGGTACTTTAATTTGTTGGCAGCATTAATTCATTAGAAAAGTGATTCGTTCTATTAGAAATGGACCTCCTGCTTTAAGTAACTCTACAGCTATGCGCCCGTTTTTCATTTTAATCAACGCAGTACGGACCTCGTTGTTAGTAGTATTAATGTTACTATTTGTTTGTCTCTCCATGTATTCCAATCTGGACTCTTTGAGTAATATTTTTTAGTGATTTTTCCACTTTTCTATAGGAATTAAGTTGCTTAAGGAGTTATGGGTGTTTTTCTTTAGATTAGTGATAGTTCTCCATGCTTCCGTATTCTGAAAACTATCAACTAAATTTTCAACTTGGGCACATTTTTGTTACCAGAAATTGTTTTTTACTTCTTTTATTTGAATGCGTTTTTCCTTTGATATGTTACTGTCACAGCCATTTGATAATTATTTTGTTTGTATACCGCTTTAAATGCTGAAGTTAAAAATCTCTTATTAAAATTCAAAGAAAGCTTTAGGTATAAAACCTTTTTAAATCATAACAATCTTTCCACTTGTCGGCAATAATTTTTATATTTTATCGCCATCACTTCAATTTATTTTCTTTATTTTAACGCGTAAGTGGTGTAATAAAAATTGATGAGGTTCTTACAGTTGACGAAGAATCTGAGCGCTGAACGGTCGGTATCCGTGGCGTAATATTTTTTTAAATTTTGTGTATGTATAGATTGATGCTTATAAGTGATAATTTTTGTTACATCATTTTTTAAAAGCACGCGATATGTTTTGTTGGGAACTGGCAAATATAGATTTTCAATAATTTTGAAGTTTAATTTTGTAATATACGAACCGTGTATTTTATACGCAAATTCGGGTAGAATTGCGTTGGTACACACTTGACATATTTGGCGACCGTGACAGGACTGTTTCCATAAAATTAATCGTGGTTGTATACGAGGTGTAACAAAATTGAATTGACGATCACCGGACAAACTTTATCGCGTTTCGCCTGTAACTTTCGGTAAACGTGTGTGGTTTTGACCAAGTTTGCAGAGAAAAATGGATCAAAAGAAGAAACATCGCAAAGTGCTCCGTAGCACCTTCACGAGGACGGCGAATGAAATGGATAAGCTTTTGTCGGCGCCGGAGGGTGAGATACGATCAATTAAAGTTTCCTTGGATCTATTACGCCAAAAAATTGAAGACTTAAGGAAAAGTGATGAAGAAATCTACGGTCTATTACTAAGTGAAGACGCTAGTGAAGAAGACCTTTTAGCAGAAATTGAGTGTAGTGACAACTATAGCAAGAAGTTTTTGGATCTCAGTATGCAGTTCGAAGACCGTATGCAGTCAATAGTGACAGGTGCAGTGGAAGGTGAGGTAGCTTCTAGGATATCTGATGATAGGAGTAGTTTAGACAGCAGACGCGGTAAGCGAAAATTTAAATTACCTACATTAGAGTTCAAAAAATTCGACGGGAATATTAAAAACTGGTTGCCTTTTTGGTCACAATTTCAAAAAGTTCATCATGATCCTGACATAGATCCGAACGACAAGGTCGAATATTTGATTCAAGCTACTATACCGGGTAGTAGAGCTAGGCAACTAGTGGATAGTTTTCCCGCCACTGGAAGTAATTATGATGCTATGATTGACTGTCTTATTTCGCGTTTCGGTCGGGATGACTTGCAGATCGAAGTTTATGTACGGGAATTACTTAAATTAGTAATAAATAATACTGCGTCTGTCAATAAATTAGATCTATCCTTGTTATACGACAAATTAGAGACTCAGTTGAGGGTTCTGGAAACACTCGGTATTAAGTCGGATAAATACGCGGCTATGTTATTTCCTTTAGTTGAATCCTGTCTACCTTCAGATTTATTAAGAGTTTGGCAACGATTGCCAGAAAGTATCGGATCACAAGCGTCACTTAATTCTGCCGGCATCGCAAGCATCGAAAATCGACTTCAGAGTTTAATGTTGTTCTTGAAAAAGGAAGTTGACAATGAGCAGCACCTTTCTTTAGCAGTCGAGAATTTCCATTTGCATGCTGCTAAAACCGAAGATTTTAAATCTACAGGTCCAAAAACAAGGAGACACGAGGAAAACAAGCACAAGTCTCCTTCCGCGATGGGTTTAGTTAATTCTCACACCATCTATAAATGTGTTTTTTGTCAGAATTCGCATGAAAGCAGCCACTGTTTTAAAGCACAGAAATTAACTTATGACCAAAGGAAAAATATTTTGACAGAAAAAGGCGCGTGTTTTCGTTGTTTGAAAATTGGACATCAGTCTCGAAAATGTCGCAGTCAATTAAGTTGTTTAATTTGCTCTAAATCGCATGTACCTTTAACGTGCACTGAACTTTCAAGACACCGGGTAAAGCAGGATACAGAAGAGCAGAAAGAAAACGATGGCATTCCCGTGCCAAGAATTGAACAGACGCTCGCTAATAGTGCTAGTACGAATGTTTTTTTGCAAACTCTGCGTATTGAAATAAACTATTTAGACAAGTCGCGAGTTGTACGTGCTCTTATAGATACCGGATCGCAAAAAACGTACATTTTGAAATCTACAGCTAAACTTTTGGGTTATCCTAGTAAACGACAGATTAATCTAGTACATGGATTGTTTGGAGGAAACCAATTAGCGCAAAAACATGATTGCTATGATGTTAGAGTGTTTCATAACAATTATAGTTATACATTTGAGGCACTAGATCAAAACGTTATATGTAGCGACGTCTCTTCCATATTTAATGGTCCCTGGATAGAAGAACTTGGTATGTTTAATATAAAACTATCGGACTTGGGTGATGCGTCTCCTATAGAGATTTTAATAGGTGCTGATATTGCTGGAAAACTCTATACTGGGAGGAGGCACATATTGGAAAGTGGATTGGTAGCTGTAGAAACATTATTAGGTTGGACTTTAATGGGCAAGATACCTTTAGGTCAACGGGACAATAATACCACATCGGTTGTATCACTTTTTGTTAAAAATGCTTCAGTTAGTAATCTTTGGGAGCTAGACGTTTTGGGCATTGGTGATCCAACTGAAAGGAAGTCAAGTGAAGAAACTGCGCTAGCAGCCAGGAAACTTTTCTTTGAAACAGTGTCATCGGATTCTAGTGGACGATATGAAGTGAGACTCCCATGGCTGGAAGGACATCCGGCATTGCCGAACAACTACCAAATTGCAAAAAGGAGACTCGAGAGCACATTTAAGAAAATAACGAAAGACGGATATCTTGAAGCCTACGACCAAATATTTAAGGATTGGTTGGACGAAGGTATAATTGAAGAAATATCCGAGGAGCAGCCTAGCCAAGAATGTCATTACTTACCCCATAGACCGATAATTAAGCCAAATAGCTTATCTACAAAAATCAGACCGGTCTTTGATGCTTCGGCCAAAGAAAAACACAGACCTTCTTTAAATCAGTGTCTTGAAAAGGGGGTTAACCTGATTGAATTGATTCCAGCTATTTTGTTGAGATTTAGACAAAAGGAAATTGGTGTAATCTCCGATATTCGGAAAGCATTTTTGCAAATTGGCCTGCATAAAGCTGACAGGGATTTTCTTCGCTTTCTATGGATAGATAAAACTGGAAAAGAAAGGATTTACCGTCACTGTCGAGTTGTATTTGGAATAAGTAGTAGTCCATTTTTATTGGCAGCTACGCTGGACTATCATTTATCGCAGATGTTAGAAAAATGCTCTTCGGCACTGCTTAATGTTTCAGAAGACACAATTACAAATTTATCCAATAGTTTTTACGTTGATAATTGTGTTACCAGTGTAAGAAATGAGCAGGAACTGAGAACTTTTATAGAAGAGTCAAACATAATAATGAGTGAAGGCAAGTTTGACCTCAGAGGGTGGGAGTATACTGGCCAAATACAGGATGAAAACCTTGCAGCTTCAACTCAGGTGTTGGTAATAAAGTGGAATAAGAGTGACGACACTCCATTTCTGAATAAAGACAATAGATTATCGGGAATGAACGCTTTTAAGGATGAGCATGGACTAATTCGCTTACAGTCGCGTATTAGTAATAGAAATGACCTAGAGTATTTTCGGTTTCCTATAGTTTTACCGGCAAAACATTTTTTAGTGAATAGGTTGTTATTCCGGGAACATGTTAAGTCGTGTCATATTGGAACTCAAGGACTCACGAGTATCGTGCGCGAACGATATTGGATTTTAGGTGGTCGACGGGCGATAAAATCAGCCATCATTAAGTGTGTCGTCTGCAAAAGGCATAATGCGAAGCCATTCGGGGCAAGTGCTCCGTCGTTACCAGTAGATCGCGTCCGGGACGCGGTAGCATTCGAAACGACGGGCGTAGATTTTGCGGGACCGCTTTACCTAGCCACCGGAGGAAAAGCATGGATATGTCTTTTTACGTGTGCCGTATATCGTGCTGTACATGTCGAACTTTGCACCTCGTTGTCAGTCGCCTGCTTCATGCAGGTTCTAAGACGTTTTATTGCCAGACGTGGTCGTCCGAAGACTATATACAGTGATAATGGAACTAACTTTGTCGGAACTGAGAACGCGTTTTCTCGAGTAGACTTTCAAAAAATAGCTGAGAACAGTATTAATGAGCGTATCTACCCCATGGAGTGCCCAGCAGATTTTTCTCAGACGCTAGGCAATGACCGAACGGACAACACGGAAGAGACCGAAGACAGAGGATCTTGTTTAAGTTTATGTGAAGGCGCGGAAGTGAGTGCCTCCGAAAACAACGCGGAAACGGGAGTGTCTGAAAGCAGAGTACCCGAAACGAAAAAAAAAAAAAAATTGTTACGCGAAGTGGGCGCAGCGTCAAAACTCCTGTGCGATACGCTAACGAGTAGATTTAGTTTTTGCTTAATTATATTTCGAATTTTGTCTGTTATGGTTTTATGTTATTTGCTGTAGTTTTGTTTACTTTTGTGCCAATATTAATATTGTGAGCCATGTTTACTTTTGTAAAATGCCTCAGGTGGGAGGATGTCACAGCCATTTGATAATTATTTTGTTTGTATACCGCTTTAAATGCTGAAGTTAAAAATCTCTTATTAAAATTCAAAGAAAGCTTTAGGTATAAAACCTTTTTAAATCATAACAATCTTTCCACTTGTCGGCAATAATTTTTATATTTTATCGCCATCACTTCAATTTATTTTCTTTATTTTAACGCGTAAGTGGTGTAATAAAAATTGATGAGGTTCTTACAGTTGACGAAGAATCTGAGCGCTGAACGGTCGGTATCCGTGGCGTAATATTTTTTTAAATTTTGTGTATGTATAGATTGATGCTTATAAGTGATAATTTTTGTTACATCATTTTTTAAAAGCACGCGATATGTTTTGTTGGGAACTGGCAAATATAGATTTTCAATAATTTTGAAGTTTAATTTTGTAATATACGAACCGTGTATTTTATACGCAAATTCGGGTAGAATTGCGTTGGTACACACTTGACAGTTACTCTATTACTAGATGTTTTTGTTAGCCATTTCCTATATATTTTGTTTTTTTCTTGTATTATTTCTTTTGCGTTTTCTGTTATCCATGGTAGTTCGTAGTGTTTTTTGTCATTGTTCTTTGTTCCTAATACTTCCTAAGTATTTTTTTTATTATCGTTTTGAGGTTATTGTATTCTTGTTATACGTCCATATTTCTTTTCATCTCATTTAGTTCCTTTTCTAATCTAGATTGAAAAAGATGTTTAATACTTAGTTGGAATAAAAGGTGCAATTTATATCTCCCCGTTTTTTACTGTGTAGTATTGTTTCTCTCACTTCCGCTGTTCTGTTTATAGTATTGTTTAAAGGGGCACAAAAGATTAGCTAACCACAGTTAGATTGTTTTTTTACTCTACAGTCTTGGCACTTAAATTTTGATTTCTGTCTCATTATTATAATAATATAGTCTATGATCGACTTCTGTTGGACTGAAGGTCTTTCCTAAGAGTATTTATGAATATCTTTATGTTGAAATTGGGTAGTTATTATTTTTAAACCAAAAAGTTGACAAAGTTCAATTAAATTGTCCCCTGAACCATTTCTAACTATTTCTCCGTGCCATCCCACCACGTCATCGTCTATTTAAGAACCTACTTTCTTGAGTTTCGAACACTCCCTTCTCTTATCTAGACCTTATCTATTGTTCTGAAGCTATTTTCTTCAGGAATTTTAAAGTACATAATTACTATTTTCATAAGAATAAGCCACAATTGAAGGTTAAAATAAGTTTATTGACGTTTACAATAATACCTGTATTTTGAGAAAATTTTTTCTCTGTTATTTACCGACGAAATGTATCGAAATTTGGACATGTTATACGAAATTATGTTGCCTTTAAACTGATGGTTTTACTTTTTTATTTTTTTTGAATTTTCTGTTGAAAAATTGGATTATACTGTTTAACGTTCTATTATAACCAAACTTTTCACGCCCATCAGTTGAAAGAGTTTTTTTTTTGTAATCGTTGATTCTTTTTTCACCTTTCTGTGTCCAGTAATAATCGAGAAAAGCGTATTCAAACTTTGAAGAAAATTGCTAAAAAATACTAAAATCTAATAGTGAAACGTGTTCCTCATCATTGTCGCTGAGCTTGATCGTTATCGCATTAGTGACGTCAAATCTCATGAACGTACGGTACGGGTACGGTCTTATTTTTATTTCTCTATGGGTACGGTCAGTTAGTTCGCTTGAATTAGAATCCATTTTAGTTCTTTCATTCTTGTATTTTCTTTATCAACCCTTTTTACTTTTTTTTTATTTACTTACCGTAAAGTAAGTAAATAGAGGGTTCATGACCTTACATATTATTTGTTTATGGTCAAAATATTACCAATGTTTTACTCTTAAATAATAATAATAACAAATAATATCATTTGCAGAAAATACTTTAAGTTTTATCGTTATTTCTAGTAATAGCTGTCATTCTCAGTCAGTTGAAATTGCCTCTCCGCAAAAACCATCTTTTTCGGTAGAAGGCAGAAGAATAGTGGACTTAAACTTTTTCATTAAATCTATTCAAGGTTTGAATAATCATTCTCCATTTCCATGCAACTTTTCTAATATGGAGATTATCAAAGAAAAAATGGACGGATTGATAAGTACATTGACTTTTAAATGTCAAATGTGGAATATTGAAAAGGAGATAGCAACATAGGATTCTGGTAACAATTCACTGAACTTGAATGGTTCTGGTTATTCAGACATACAGCAGCAGCACGCTGCATTAAATATACCTGTGATGTCCTACAAACAGTATGCAAAACATACGGAAACAGTTGCAGATATCATCGGCCAAACACTTTGTGATTCCTTAGAAGAGGCTGGACGGGAGGAATTAGCTTTAGCCAAAGAAATTGGTGAAGTAGATTCCGACGGAAATGGGTTAATAACCGTTATAGCTGATGGTGCTTGGTCAAAAAGATCGTATAAAGTAAACTATGATGCTTCTTCAGGTGTAGTACCTGACGTTGTAAAATTTATTAAATTAGTACGCCTTTGATGGATATACCATGTAATTAGGCGAGATGAAGATGAAACGATCAGAAAAATTTTCGACCGAAGAGGACCAGTGGGAAAACGATCCAGATGAAAGACGAAAACTTAGGTATCAAGATAACATAGAGGATGATCTAAAATCCATCGGAGTTAAAGCATGGAGAAAGTTGCCAGAGGCAGGGGCGAATGGAAGATTGTTCTGAAGAAGCCTTTGGCTCATGACGAGCTGTAATGCCACTGATGATGATGAAATAAGTATCCACGATTTGTGTTTTATTCATCAATTTGATACTTTTCTTATGTAACTGCAACCTATAAATATATTAAAATAATGTATATTCCATTCAGAGAACTTTTTCCTCGCAGTGCGTCGCCTCGAAATACTTGCCAGATAAATACATTTAATATTATGATGTTTTCGCAGGTACCAATTTTTTATAGATAAATAAAAATATTTTTTGTTTAATTTTTACTACGCTAATATCAGTTTTCTCTAACAAATAAATAACTTCTTGAAATAATTTTCAAGCTATAACTGCGAAATTGTTTATTTGTTTGTGACAACAAATTGTAATTTTTTTGATAATAATATTCTTATGTTATTTTAAATTTATTATAAATAAACACCATGGTGTTTTTTTCAGTCACGTTTCACAAATTTTTATTTAATACTATGTTTAGCTAAGACATATAAATTAAAAATGTGATTAATTCATTTTAAAACATTATCTACGATAATTAATAAAAAAAAAGTATTCCTACAAAACTAATTTGAATGGAGAATAATGCATTTATTGTCATTAAACAACCCGTGGGCCGGCGCCACTGAATAAACATCCAAACTGCAGATTTTAAATTAGGAAGTCACGTAGGGTCTGACATAAGCAGTGTAGAAAAGTAAGTGATACGCCCACTTCAAATCGAAGTATGCTATAACTGCGAAAACAGCCTTAATTGTAGCTTATTCTCATTAAAATAGTATTTAGACCTTATCTATATTGTTGCTTCGGTTGGTGTTTCTCTTCTTCTCTCTTTTTAATGACTGTTCAGATGTAATTGTAAACATTATTCCATCCCTCCGTACTTTCTGTCACCTTCACCACCATCTCTTTTACAGTCACAAGGTTCATACCTATTTCTCTATACATTCAGTTTCTCTCCATGGTACATCTATTGCACTACAGCTGTATGGGTAACAGTGTCGGAATATTCGCAGTATAGGCATTAATCTGTATCTGTCTTTCTGAACCTATGAAGATCCGCGCCCTAAAACAGATAATCTACCCAGTTCCTTGGACTTGGAACCAGCATCTTGGTCCACTGGGCAACATCTCCCTTCTTGTTCAACTCTTCTTGCCATCTCTCCATTGATCTTTCCCTTTCTTCTTTTTTATAGCTGTTGTCAAATGCTCTATTCTCGCATAGAGTTGTCTCTTTTCTACTGCTAACACATGCAGAGGAACACAACCCGTGATAGTCCCATCGAGCAAAAAGACAAAAGAGGGAATGTAAAGGTAGTGGGGGCAGAAATATTGTTAGACAGGAAGTGCGATCTTTAGAGGCCACATTAAACAAGGAAAGAGAGTATCTCTCCTTGTTTGACATCAAATTTAGTTGGGTTATGTTATTGTTTGTCCACTGGTTTGTCCCAAATGTCACATGAAATCTTATTTATATTGAAGTTTTTTAATATTTGTGTCGCATTTTAGACAATTGCCGTTAATAATTAATTAAAACTTTCTCGTCTAAAACACATTCTGAAAAATATTATATAGCTACTGTTAATAAATGTCGAAAAATTTAAATTTGGCGCATTCGCATTTCCGGATATGTCCGCCATCAGAGGCCACTTTTTTGGTCTCCTTTTCATAAGGATTAGATTCCCTCTTTTGTCTTTTTGCTCGATGGATAGTCCACAAGGCCGCCGCAGATACAGTCCTGTAGCCGCATGCAAACTAGCAACTCGCAATAGACTCGTTCTATCTACTTTGGTCATGAGACTATTATTAGGTATCTATATCTAAATATAATGAAAGATATTATTAATTATTGTGTATTTATACAATAATTATTGTATTCTATATATTTAAAGTGGTAATTCAATTATTAAATTAGCGTTTTGGATTTTTTCTATTGTGTGTGAAATACAAGTTACATTTTCTTTCTATTCTTTAAAAATTTTTTACTTTATATGCCCAGGGCGGGGGGTTAACCCCCAAAAACCCCCCTGGGTGCGCCACAGATATTGATACTTAAAGATAAGTTGCTGAGAATCTTCCTAAGGCTGTTGAAAGAGCTTCTGGCTTTTTCAATACGAGTTTTCATTTCGTAGCTATGATCCCAAGTGTGATTCTTACATTCAAATATAAATCACAATATATTACTTCCAATGAATAACATTTACACTTAGGTACACAATAAGGTTGACTTTTATCCTAAACTATAAATTTTGTTATATTGGCAACATGAATTTTAACGATAAATTACATCAAAATGGAATAAACAATTTCTAATTTTTTACAAAGTTCTAATTTTTTGTCTAACACAGATATTGCTTGAAAATGTCGCGTGGGCATGCGCGTTTGCATGATCTGTCTTACATGTTGCATGGCTCTTGCATGGCATGAAAATTGTATAATATAAAATCGACTTTAAATAAAAATTTAAAGTCTTGTAGCATTACCGAATAAACAAAACTGTTTTTAATTTAACGGTTATTTCAATGTCAAGATTATTTTTGATAATCTTGGATAAATTTGGATAATCTATGAATAATTACAGGTATTATTGCTAAAAATATTCCATAATATAATAGCAGACTGCAAAGGCGTTGTTTGTTTAATAATCTAATAATCTGATAAATTGTTATTTTTGTATGCACATATCGATCTTATCGTCAAATCTTTGCAACATATAAAAGAAGTCCCATCAGCAGTTTGCATCAGTTTGTTCTGACTAAATCCAGCAAACACCGCCTTCAAGATGTTTCATTATTCAATTTGTAAGTAAATTTTTATGCTACTCTTATTTTTCTTTATGTGCTATATTAAAATTACCCGATGTTAGCATCAGACTGGTTCTGTCATCGTCAAAATGAAAAAAATTCTTTTTAGTTATTGCAATTCTGCCATTTATTTCTATGTCTGAATTATGTTGGTCCGTTATGATATTTCCCAAATATTTACGAATTTTTTGAACTCTTTCAACTTATACTTATACTGTAATTCAAATTGTTAATTTCAAAATGGAATCCTCTTCCTATGTACCATATCTGATCAGGTTGACAATCAGGATCGCAAAATCTTGTCCATCGTGTTAGTAGGTATGTTTTTTGTTAATATGAGAGCATTTCCTTTAGTTTGCTTTTATTTTTATTAATTTTGTAATTTCTCGCCTCTATGCTGATATAGGCGAGAATGCAGCCTCTATGGTAAGAGAGGCTGATAGGAAAGATTAAAGACATTTCACTTAGGACAAATTGAAAAAGAGTAGAATGTAAAGGTCCTTATGATGCAACAGGTACGTTTCACAAGCGTATGAGTATTAAGATACTTTGTGTTCCCGCTCATACCTCGTGGTGTTGACTACACATTGTATGGCTCGTCTAGCATACCATAGCATGGAGGATAGGGTGCACTTTTTTTCCTTCCATTATGTTTTTCTGTTGTTTCCATTTTGTTCTGTATTATTTTATTTTCTTATTCATCAAGTAAATACTTAGTTCTTGTTTAACATATTTATTTTTCTATCTCTTTTTTAATGCCTGTCATTCTTCTGAAAACTCTCATTTCGCTAGCGTGAATTCTAGAGTTAGATATTTGCAATATTATCCAGTCATCATATCTATATAAGAGAACAGGTGTATCGTATGCTTTATCATTGTATCGTTTCCTGTTTCTTGTTCTTCAATGTTCTGTGAATTATTCTGCTTAGTTGTTTTAGTGGATTATCATCAACTACTAATTTTTTATGAGGTATCCCTACGGCTGTCGCCGCTTTTCTTCTTTTAGTCAACTTCTGATGTCTTTTCTATTCTGCCATTATCCGTCTCTAAAGTTTTGACTTTCCATGGCCTCGTCCGCTTCATCCTTTCATAATCTTCGGAGTCTGCCTTGTTTTTAGGCTCCAATTTCCCTTCTGGTTTTCGAAGCATATAGAATAGATCTCCTTCTTCATCTTTAGATGTTATCATTTTGTCATCTGCAAAACGTAGTGTGTACAAGAAGTCGTCTCGGATTGGTATTCCCATACCTTCACATTTTCTTTTCCATGACTTAAATGTATGTTCTAGGAATATCTTAATCAGCGTTATTATTTTTCATTATGTGAATCTCAAATCTAAGCTCATCATCGTTGAAAGATTCACTCAGCAGACTGACTTCATCCTTTCTCATTTTAAGTTTAAGTTCTATTCGTTTTGAGGTATCTTCTGCTATCCATTTACTGTTTTTGATTTGATCACTTTTATAATTCCATCCATCCAATGTTCCATCCATCACACTACAGCGGGCCTTGGCATTCTTCAATAAGCTTCTCCAATAATTTAGATTTACCGCTGTTCTTTTCCATGAACGCGTTCCCAAGCAGTTCCTGGCATCCTCATCAACTTCGTCTTCTCATCACTTTTTAAGGTCTTCCAACAGGTCTTTTTCCCTGCATTCTTGCATTTAGTAACTTTCGGGGGATTCTATTCTCATGCATAATTATTATTGCAAATTTATTTAACTTTAATTTTTTATTATTTTCAAAATTCTTCGAGATCTTCTAGTTGATAGTCAATGTTTTATAGTTTGTAATTAACTTTCTAATTAAAAAAATTCTAATCAAATTATTTACTTGTCTAATCAGTTCAATGAAATGTGACTTATACTTTTTTTCACTTGGTTGTCTCCTTATTTTAGCCCAGCAAGACACCGCCGCTGAAACCACCCAAGAATATTCAGTGGAGACGACATATGAAGAATATGAATATGAATCCACTTTCTCTCTTTCGGAGTTATCGAAACTAGAGAAGTTCGTATTACCTCCTAGAACTACGATCTTAGCATTGTCTCAGAGCGGAGGAGACAAGGAAGAAGACAAAAAGTATGTCGTCACGAATCACGGAAAAGCTGATCTTTTTGTTGAGGTACGTTTGTCCATTGATTTTGTACTTTTTTGTTTTTTTTATATCTTTTGTAAGACATTTTCTTGAAAATGCTTACAATTTCTTTTCTGTTGTTTTATTTGTTTAATATATTTTAGATAAATGTTGTTTAGATAAATTTCTTTTTTTTTAGGTAGTGCATCTCAATAACCAAGATGATGCTCCACAATGGTGTGTTGTCCAGCCAGACCAAACCACTGAGATAGCTATTGAGGACAGTCTTGAACAAAGCGTGTTGAAAGTGAGCAACAACAGTTACGAAGAGGAAGTTTCATTTTCTGCTGAAGGTGGTCACGTTATTGACGACTTGGAAAACAACATTGAAGAACTTCTAGACTCAGATGAAACAGAAATTGAAATAGTCGTTCTAGAAAACTTTTCTTTGAGCCCAAGAACTGCCGTCACTGTTTTGAGTCAAAATGTAGAAGGAAGCAATGAACATCCTGGAAAGTACACTGTAACTAACCTTGGGGTAGCTGCTTTTGATATTGAAGTAAGTTTTTTCTCTCTTTTCTTTATTTTAAGCAAATTATTTGTGACTTGACGACTCAAACTTTGTCGTTTTTCTAGTGATTTATTTTGAGAGATTTCCATCACGTTTTCTCTTTCAATACCTTAGTTTATGTTTTTTTATAGCAGCGTTTTAGTTGTACAGTTATCTACATCGATAATTTATTAACCACGATTTAAGGTGTTTCTCTGATTTCTTTTGTACCATCTATGTTATATACTCAGATAGTTAATTCATCCAGTTGCCCATGGATATTTGGTTTTCCTAAGGTAATTAGTTAACCTCTTTCTATCGGGATCGATATAATCTTCTTCTTTTATTGCTTTGTCCATTTTTTTTCTGTTGTCTTTTTCTTATAAAGTTCTTTTATTATTGTGAGATCGAATAAACGATTCCAAGTTAATTTTTCTAATTAAACTATCATGTTTGGATTCTTTTGTAATCTAATCATACCACATAACATGCCACCGTAATATAATCATCTAACCGTAATCAGTAAACATGAGCCTAATTAATATTTGCAGTAAATGAAGATGTCTGGCTGCCAATGTGTAGATAATTGAAATTCACTTCTTTGCTCATTGATTTCCACTCTAAATTATACATATTAAGACAGATTTAAATAGCGAAATAGTTGCCTTTTATTTTTGGCACTAATATATTTTTTTCTTAGTTAAAGCGTACATCACCTGTTCAAACTATGGATCTTCATCGCAAAACCGTTCAGCCTAATACATCTGAGTCTTTTGAACTCACCGCTCAATTCCAAAATACCGTATTGGAAGTTATCAACACAAGCCAGACTGAAGATGCAGTTTTTAGAGCTGAAGGAGGGGATGTTATTGAAGATCTTGAGGATTTAGTTAGAAATATTGATGAGAAAGTAAAAACTGTTGTTTCTCATACTGTAACAACTTTGGAGAGCTTCCATTTAGTCTCACGTTCATCTGTCACTGCTTTGATGTATGATCCTGATGATGTTACCCTTTCCGAACATCATAACTTCACTGTTACCAACAATGGACAATCTGAGATAGAAGTTGAGGTGAGTTTTTTTAATTACTATATAATTTATAAAACCAACGGCCATACAAACTTCTAGATACAAACAAATTTTATTTGTATTTACTTAGCTGATCGTTCATTTTAGGTTATGTACACTGATAGCGATGACCGTGAGAATGATCAATATAGAGTAGTTAAACCAAATGAAACTGTAGTAATTGAGCATAAAAAAGACGCTGGAATAGCCCTATTAAATATATTGAACAGAAATTACACAGAAGTCGCTGTTATCACAGGTAAGTTTTTTTATTTTTAATTTACTTTCCTTTTTTAAGTATTTTTCATGAAATCTGACTGCACACAAAGAATAACTGTTAACCAAAAATATTATGGAAAGTTTTTGTCTTCTTGTAAATTTAAAATAATTTAGACGATTTAAAAAAAACAATAAGTTAATATTTTATTTTGTTGTAGCCACCGGAGGAAGAGTAGTTCGAGACATTATGAGAAAGGTCAAACAACTGGTATCTGATGACAAATCAATAATGTTAGTGAATAATTTCCATCTAGCACCTGCATCTTCCGTAGTTGTCATGCATCAAGTTGGTAGATTTAGACGGAGACCCGTATACCCAGCTGGACATCGCAAACCCCAACATGTTGTTGTTCGTAGACTTCAATACCATCCTGGACGTAAACCAGGACGTCTTCCATGTAAACCAGCAGTACCTCGTCCTTGTAAACCAGCAGGTAGACCAGCAGGTCCAGGACGTCGTCCCTTCCGTCGTCCAGCTTGTAGGCCAGTAATACGACCAGCCCAGCGTCCAGATCAAGGTGCTCAACATCCAGCACAAGGTCGTCCCCATCCAGCTCAACAAGGACATCACCCAGCTCAACAACAGCACCGTCCTGCTCAACAACAGCACCACCCAGCTCAACAGCAGCACCGTCCAGGTCAACAACAGCACCATCCAGCTCTGCAACAACACCATCCAGGTCAACAACAGCTTCGTCCAGCTCAACAACACAGACCTCAAGTTGGACAATGTAGACCAGCGCGCAGACCAAGAATTGTTATGCGTCCCGCTGTCGTACGTAAAACCATTGTTCATGATAGATACACCGTTGTTAATCATGGAAGTCATGCTTTTACCGTTCAGGTAAGTAAATCCAACAATATATTGTGATATATTTATATAGTTCGAATTTATTTGTCTTTATTCTAATTTATTGTCTATAATCTAATTTATTAAAACTCACGATAGCTAATTACTAATTTATTAAATAACTTTACAAATGTATGTATTTCACGTTTCGTACAAGTAAACCGCGTTTACCGATCTTCTTATGACTAACTCCTCAATGAAATTCTTCCGGTATTTATATGAAACCAGCTTGTAACAGAATGTTTGTAGAAAATACGATGCCGTTCTCGATCTCGACGTAGACACGGCGGCGACTGGTCTCAAAACATGTTCCTTTATCGGCTTGTCGCCCCCAGAACATTCGATTGTTGTTTGTCAGGTAGATTTTTTTTGACCTAGAAATTACGAGAATCAATACAAAAGAATTAGTCATAAAATATTTACAGTTCTATACGCCATAACATTTAAAATCGTAACATTGCCCCCCTCTTAAAAGATGGTTCCTCCTGGAACCTTGTCGGGACTGGAACTGGAACGACATGCTGATATCGGCAACTGGACCCTCTTTTACAACTTCCGGTTGTATAGAAATGACAAGGGACGGTTTTCTCTCCGCACCAGTAACTATGCGGATTGCAACAGACTAACACCTGGACTTCGGTGTCTTTAAACATCTCCTCCACCATATTTCGGATAACCCTCCAATCTAATTGGCGGCACTCCAACTTTGGCATGGCTAACTTTTGCACGTCGGACTCTAGTACGTGCTCTCTCAACTGAAGTAAGGCTTCCCATACATCTCGGTAGGTAGGTTGGTCACGGGCAGTGTCTTTTGTTACCAGGTAGAAAAGGTAACGTGATGCATCTTGAAGTTTCAAGGTTTTACCAGGAGCTGGCACTTGGCATTGAAGTTCTGCAACTCGACCAAACTTCCTTCGAAAGACGGATGCCAACCCTGGTGCATCTTTGATACTGGCCGGGATGGTAAGGGCCAGTGAGTAGTCATCGGGGAGCGCGAGTAGATCTTGCCTTTCTTCAGTGGTAACACCATATCTTGCTTTACCGGTACCTCCATAGGCACCCATGAATTCCTCAAACGTGAGGTCAGACACATCTTGGACTTGGTTTACTTCCACTTCTTCATCTACGTCGTGGTCACCCTCGAAAGACGCCAACCGGTTATGGTGTACTATCATCGGCTTTCCTCTCGGAATCTTGCTTATTCGGTAAATAACATCATTGATCTTCTCCATAATGAGGTATGGACCTTCCCAAAACTGCTGCAATTTGGGAGAACAACCTTTTCGCTTTTTGGGGTTATAAAGCCAGACTTTATCGTTCTTCTTAAAACACCCCTTCTCGGCTTGCGTATCGTACCGTTTCTTCATTCGGTCACTAGCGATCTGGAAATGGGAACGGACCAACTCGTGTACATCGTCCATTCTTCTTCGTAATTCGATCACATAATCTTCACCTGCTACATCTTCTCCAGGTCGACACCCAAACTCTAGATCACAAGGTAGTCGCATCTCGCGTCCGAATAGGACTTTGGCTGGTGTCTGGCCTGTTGATTCATTAACAGCAGATCTGTAGGCCATTGTGAAGAACGGGAGATATTGGTCCCAGTCTCGCTGATGATCGGACACCATCTTTGTCAAATACTTGCCAACTGTTCTATTCATTCGTTCTACCATACCATCCGATTGCGGATGATAAGCCGTAGTCCTTGTTTTCTTCATACCTAGTCTATCACATATTCCTTGGAATAAATCGCTTTCGAAGTTCCTGCCTTGGTCACTATGGATCTCCAAAGGCACTCCAAATCGGCTGATATATTCTTGGATCAACTTATCTGCAATGGTGGCCGCCTTCTGGTCTGGAAGTGAGTAAATCTCGACCCACTTAGTGAAGTAATCCATTACTACCAACATGTACTTGCCTCCATTATCACTTTCTGGAAACGGCCCAGCAATGTCCAAAGCTATTCTTTCAAACGGGCTTCCAACATTATATTGTCTCATAGGAGCTCTCCTTTTTCGATAAGGCCCGTTACTCGTAGCACAAATAGTACATTTCTTACACCAGTCTTTTACATCGTCGGAACTGTTCATCCAATAAAACCGTTCCCGAATTCGCTGAAGGGTCTTTTTCACACCAAAATGCCCTCCTGATGGACTGTCGTGTAACTGACGAAGTACTTCGGCTATTCTGCTCTTTGGAATCACCAACTGTCTTCTCTTCTCTGAACCGTCATCATTTTCCAGGACTCGTTTGAGCAAGCCATCTTCCATGATAAATGAGTCCCACTGGGCCCAATACGTCTTAACTATTGAGCCTAGGTTCGATATTTCTTGCCAAGGTGGTCGACGGTTTTCCTCTTTCCATTTTCGGATTTTCTGTATAACTGGATCTCTCTCTTGTTCTTCCCTGATCTTGGTAGGCGTCCAGTCGTCGTGGACCACCGTCGTTCTTAGCACTGCTGCTTCCTTGGATTCCGTTTTGTTGCAGTGAGAACACTCTGCTGGGCATGGCCTTCTGGAAAGAGAATCGGCGTTTCGGTGGCTAACTCCGGCCCGGTGCTCAATCTTAAAATCATATTCTTGGAGTCGTTCGATCCACCTGGCTATCTGACCCTCTGGATTCTTAAACTGCATCAACCACTTAAGGGCGGCATGGTCGGTTCGGATTAAAAACTTCCTTCCATAGAGGTATTGATAGAAGTGCTCTACTGATTTCACTACTGCCAGAAGTTCTCTTCTCGTGACGCAATAATTTCGCTCAGGTTTTGAGAGGACTTTACTAAAATATCCAAGGACTCTTTCCTGTCCTCCTTGAATCTGAGACAGCACTCCTCCAATTCCCACATTACTTGCATCTGTATCTAAGATGAACTCTCCTTCTGGCAGTGGATACCCTAAAATTGGTGCTGTGATTAAATGCTTTTTTAAGGTTTCAAAGGCATTCTGGCAGTCTACATCCCAGCGGTATTCTCTTGCTTCCTCTGTAAGTCGCGTTAATGGTTTAGCGATATCTGCAAACTTCTTAATAAACCTCCGGTAGTAAGTACACAGTCCCAGAAAACTTCTCACTTGATGTTTGTCAGTTGGTTTTGGCCATTCCTTAATAGAATCGATTTTTCCTTTATCCACGGCCACTCCTTCTTTACTGACTATATGACCCAGATAATTGACTTTACCTTGAAATAGCTGGCACTTCTTGGGGTTTAACATCAATTGGGCAGCTTTAAGTCGATTAAAAACGTTTTCTAAATTCTTCAGATGGTCTTCAAATGTCTCCCCCAAGACGATTATGTCGTCTAGATAAACTAGGCATGTTTTCCAAGATAACCCTCTCAACACATTTTCCATAAGCCTCTCAAATGTCGCAGGAGCGTTACAAAGTCCAAATGGCATAACGTTGAATTGCCATAATCCAGATCCTGTGGTGAAGGCTGTCTTTTCTTTATCTATCGGGTCCATTTCTACCTGCCAGTATCCAGACTTCAAATCCAAAGTAGAAAATAATTTACTTCCAGCCAATGTGTCTAATGTGTCATCGATCCGAGGCAGAGGATAACTATCTTTCTTGGTAACGTTGTTCAGCAAACGGTAATCCACACAGAACCTCGTTGTTCCGTCTTTCTTCTTAACCAGGACCACCGGAGAGACCCATGGGCTCGTAGAAGGTTCTATCACCCCGTCTTTCTTCATTTCCTGAACAATCGTTTCAGCTTCCTCTCTTTTCGCCTGTGGTAATCGTCGAGCTGTTTGACGAATTGGCTTAGCATTACCAGTATCAATTTTATGCTTAACAACGGTAGTTCTTCCCGTCTTTCCTCCTTTCGGTACGAAAATATCACGATACTGCCGAAGAAATTCCCTTAATTTCCTTTTCTCAATCTGATTCAGAGACTGTCCAGCAACCGCAACCATTTGATCAAATTTATCGTTGGAATTATCAGACGTTGTCGTCTGACGGATTATGGATGTGACAGGTACACAAGTTCCTACTTTTGTCTCTTTCTTGATGGTCACTGGGTAGTCATTGACATTAATAAGTCTCACAGGAATTTCTTTAGCCGAAGTCACTAATTCTTTTCCAATTATGATTCCACGGCCAACTTCGTCGTCATGATTCCAAGGCTCCATCATAACAGGTGTTCCTTCGTCCACAATTCCCTGTAGCCGCGCTACTATTATCGTTTCACTTCTCGCAGGCACGACTGTATCTTCTTTAACGGCTGCTTGCATAGTGTTGTCATCATGTGGATGGAGAAATACCTCCTCGTTACCAACTTTGATTACCTTATTCTTAAAATCCAATTGGAATCCATGTGTATTCATTACGTCCATTCCTAATATAACATCCTCTTCGATGTCAGCAACTATAACAGTATGGACGAACTTTTCTGTTCCAATTCCTAATTGTACCTGGATTTCTCCATGAATGTTGGCATTTTCACCTGTAGCGGTCCGAAGTCGCAACCTCGTTGGTAACAGTTTCTTACGGCTGTTTATAACTGTCGGGCGTATAATGGTTCTGGTCGCTCCAGTATCCACCAACAATGTATGCTTTTTACCATTTATTTCTCCATCTACATATACACTATCTTCACGACATTTCAAAGAAGCTATTAGTATCAGAGGGTCTTTGGTAAAGTTCTGGGTCGAAGCTGCCCCCCTAAGGCCGACCCGTTCTAGTTTTCCTGATGGTGAGTTTCTTGATTTGTGTCGTACCTAGGATGCTTACATGAACTTCGTACGTGTCCTATTTCGCCACAATTCCAGCATCTTATGGTCTTCGTTTTCTTGTATGTCATGCTTTTCATCATATTAACGAGCTGGTCAAGTTTATCTTCATCTTCTTCCTCTTTTACAGTCCTAACTTTACTGTACCCGCCAGAGGCCTGCGTGGCTGACTCGTATTCAAGAGCGGCGGATAAGACATCAACCAGCGTCTTGTGACGAGCTAATCGTAGTGTTCTTTGCATCTCATGATCACGAAGACCATCAATAAACGTTTGAACGGCCAACTTTTCCATCATGTCTTCGGGAGCTGTTGGATAAGCATATCGCACTAATCTGGCGATATCTACTTCATATTCTTGAAGAGCCTCATCTTTCTTTTGTCTTCGATTTTTGAGCTGCGACTGATATACATGCTCCAAGTGTTCATGGCCATATCGCATATTTAACCTCTTCTTCAGTTGTTCGAAATCATCCGTCTCCTCTACGGCTATGGTCTGGAGCACATCTAAGGCATCTCCTCGAAGGGCGATAGTCAGGTTTACAGCCTTTTCTTTTTCAGACCATCCATTCGCTCTTGCAGCTGATTCGAACTGTTTCATGTAGTTGTTCCATGATGATTTTCCGTCGAAAGTTGGGACTTTGACATGAACGGAACTTCCACTTCCTTCACATTTCGGCCGTGTTTCCAACTTACATTTCGTCTCGTCTTCTTTTGTCTCTATGGTAATTGGATTGTTTACTCTCTCTGTTGTTCCTGTTCCCTCAATCTTCCTTTCCAACTCTTTCCATATCTTCTCTTCGAAGGCCATCATATCGGCAGCAACTTGGTTTTTTAATGAAGACACTCTATCGTCGAGAGCAGACATCTCCGAAGTGACTTTAGAGATTTCCAAGGAGATGTTAGCAGAGACTTTGCTTTCTAGAGAAGAAATCTCGTTAGACACTTTGTCTTCTAAAGAGGCGATATCGCCGCAAACTTTGGCTACATCAGAGGAAACTTTCGAAATATCGCCATGAACTCTGTTCTCTAATGATGCGATGTCACCAGAAACTTTATTCTCTAATTTTGAAATTGACGCGATGACAGCATCTTCAAATATATAAGTTTCCGGATCTAAACCCTCTTCCTCCAAAGCATTCTTTAGTCGTTGGACTAACTCAGCCTTTTTTCCGGTAGAAGCTAATTCTCTATCCTCAAGATGCCTTCTTAGATTCGTAACTGTGAGCTCGTAAATCGTAGCCATCGTTCACCAATTTCACTTCTTTTCAAAAATTCAAATTAAATTTATCTACAACCCCACTTCTGCACCACTGTGATATATTTATATAGTTCGAATTTATTTGTCTTTATTCTAATTTATTGTCTATAATCTAATTTATTAAAACTCACGATAGCTAATTACTAATTTATTAAATAACTTTACAAATGTATGTATTTCACGTTTCGTACAAGTAAACCGCGTTTACCGATCTTCTTATGACTAACTCCTCAATGAAATTCTTCCGGTATTTATATGAAACCAGCTTGTAACAGAATGTTTGTAGAAAATACGATGCCGTTCTCGATCTCGACGTAGACACGGCGGCGACTGGTCTCAAAACATGTTCCTTTATCGGCTTGTCGCCCCCAGAACATTCGATTGTTGTTTGTCAGGTAGATTTTTTTTGACCTAGAAATTACGAGAATCAATACAAAAGAATTAGTCATAAAATATTTACAGTTCTATACGCCATAACATTTAAAATCGTAACAATATTCCTAAATAGTGCCTATTTAAATTAGGCACTATGTTACTTTTATTCACTTTTAAGTTTTCCTTCCTATAGCTATTTTTCTTTTACAGATCATTCGTGTTAAAGGAAGAAACCATGAGGTAGTCCGCACTCAAGTTGTCCAACCCAACGAAACCCAAGTGCTTCTACTTGAAGGCGTACATGATTCATCTTTAAAAATCGTCAACGAAAGCGAGACTGATTACGCTAACTTCTCAGCTGAAGGAGGTGAAGTAGTTCATGGATTCAGATATATGGTTAGACCACTGCGTCGCCGTCCTGGTGCAAGAAGATGCTTCTGGGGATTTTAAGTATTTAAATAAAATACACATGCTATGAACATTACTTTGTTCAGTTTTAATTATATTATGCCTTTTTCCTAATATCTTCAGAATGTCAACGAAAAAGACGTATAAAATTCAGAAATAAATATAAAATATAGGAAAGATCAACCATCGATCAACTATTTACGGTTAAGCAGATTTTAAGCAAAGCCTGGAAACATAACATAGATGTCTAATATTTTCATCGACTTCAAACAGGCATGTGGCTCAATAAACAGAGCATATTTATACAAAATGTTAAGTGAATTTGAAATATGTTCTAAATTACATAGTTCTCCTGATAACGATGTCTGACACAATGACTCAGGTACCGAGACAACATGAGCTGACATACCCATTTCTAAATAACACAAGGAGTATCACAGGGTGATGGGCAGGCACCAATATGTTTAATTTAGCACTGCTAAAAACATACTTTGCTATGAGCACGATATTTAAATCAAGAGACGTATAATAAAAAACTAAGATACGAATCTACAGATTAGGACCATAGATTAAGACCATAATCCTACCAATAGCGAGCTATGGATATGAAACTTGGATGTTCTCAAAAATCTGACATTTAAAAAAAAAGGTATTGAAACGAATACTAGGTCCTATAAATAAGAACAGTAGATGGCGAATCTGATACAAGAACCACATTTATCTCAGTATGCCCAAGCGTTTTCAATAGGCAGGCCATGCATTTAATATGGAAGAAAACAGGTTTCCAAAAAACTGTTGACTGTAGGAATGCAGAGTAAGAGACCTATTGGAAGATCTAGACAGAGATAAAAGGATAATATGGATGAGTACGCCAGAAATCTCCTTGGCAGTCGATTATGGAGGAGAATGGCTACAGGGCTCGTATTGGGAACTGGGACTGTAGAACCATAGGATGGATGGAAATATAAAATGATATTAATTGTAAAATAGACTTGCTACCAACAACCGTCTGTAGGGTTATGAGATGGATCGGGTAGTTTAATGACAGAAGACCAGATAAAGAAGTAGTGTTTATGGGACAGGTTACAATCCGCCTTTTAGAAAAATCTGTACTGCTAAAAGAATCGTTTCGAAACCTTCGGCAACATGGCAAAATATGTATGCAGTAAACAGAAAAATAAATAAGAAAATGGAAACTAAATATAAACTGTGATTAGTCTGCTTTAATATTACATCGTGGAGAAACAACGATCAGAAAGTCATTTTAAAAATTGTTGGTAATAATACTGACAATTATTTATTTTCAGATACAAAGAAAAATATGCACGTGATATGATAAATATTATGTTTTACAGTGTAGTCGATAATGAAATATTAGACAACGATTACATCGAGGAAAGCTAGGAAAATCTCAAAATTAATATAAATAACTCAGCAGCAGAAGCATTTGAAAAGAGGAAAGTAATGAACACTAATTTATCAGAAAAGAAAACTTGATGGTTTGGAGAGGAAGTGAAGATAAAAAGTAAAGAAAAGAAGAAAGCGTATTTACAATAAAGAAAAAAACAAACACAACAGGCATACAACCACTTTAAACGAATCTAAAATGAAACAAATACATTAGTCAGCAAATAAAAAAGGAACATAACTTCTGGAACGAGAAATGTGGAGAATGATCAAATGATAAACGAACTAATAATATCGATACACATTCAGAAGGAAAATATGAGGATATAGGGAGAGGTAAAAGAAAGATTCTTCTTCTTTTTCCTCTTTATAATCTTTATAAGCATTTTATTCTGCTTTGCTTATTAGCGGATTAATACCTCTATGAAAGGTTGTCACTGCATCTTTTGCGCAGTCGTCCGATATTTCTTCTGCCGATTGGTGACTTATATCTTGCTATTTTGACGACACGATTCTCTACCATTCTGCTTATGTGGTTATCCATTATTTCTTTGTATTTTGTGTCCATTCATTTATATACTGTACATTACATTTTCTTCTAATGTCTTCACTTCTCTTTCGATCTCTCAGCGTATTTCCTGTAATTCTTCTCACTACTCTCATCTATCCCGTTTCCAGTAGCCTTTGCTTTGTGGATGTGTCGGGTCTTGTTTCTAAGGCATATGTCATTATTGGTCTTATACTGGCTTTATAAATTCGTGACTCCATCTCAGTGTTAATGTGTCTGTTTCGCCATACAGTGTTATTAAGGCATCCTGTCAGTCCATTTGCTTTTTTTACTTGATGTCTCAAGTACAAAACTCTCCATAGCTATAGTGTAATTCATAGACAGTGTAATTCCCAAGTATTTTAATTCCATTACTTGTTCAATACTGATGCCATCAATTTCTATTTTACATCTGGTTGGTTCTTTGCTGACTACTATTCTTTTAGTTTTCTGAGATGAAATTATCATATTAAATTATTTTGCTCTTATGATAAATATGTAGACCAGTTTTTGCAGATCATCTTTATCTTGGGCTATTAATATTGCGTCGTCTGCATAACAGACTATTTTTATTTCTTTTTTTCTCATTCTGTACCCTCTTTCCTTTTTAACGCATTTGATGATTTCATCAATGATCAAATTAAAGAGCATGGGGCACAATGAATCCTCTTATTTCATTCTGCTGCCTATTTCTATAGGTTCTGTAAGTATTCTGATTTCCATTTTGTCATTTTGGTAGGTGTTTTCGATAGTTTTATAATATTTAGGGGAACTTCTCTATTATACAGAAGTTGGATTACATTTTTATGTCTTACTCTGTCAAAGGTAGGTTAATAGACGAGAACAATAAACTTATTGTAGATAAAGAAGAACAGTTACAGACTTGGGCAATCTACATAAAAGATTTGTTTACGGATTATCGTCATATTTCTACGAACACTCTTGATCTGAATGGACCAAAAATATTGAAAAGTGAGGTGATAAAAGCTATAGATCAAACGAAAGATGGGAAAGCAACAGGATGCGATGAAATACCAGTCGAATTCTTAAAAGTTTTTAACGAGAACAACCTGAATGTAGTATTGGAACTGTGTAATAAGATATACGATACTGGTCAAATTCCATCGGACTGGTTGAAATCTACATTTGTGCCCCTTCCCAAGAAATATAATTCTAAGACGTGTAGTGAATATCGCCTTATAAGTTTAATGAGCCACACCCTTAAAGTATTTTTGCGTATTATCCATTCCAGAATACGAGCCAAATTAGAACACAGCATAAGTAAAACACAGTTCGGTTTTAGATGCGGTTTTGGAACTCGAGAACCCCTCTTTGCAATACAAGTTTTGATTCAAAAATGCCTGGATCAACAGAAAGATGTTTACGTCTGTTTTATCGACTATGAGAAAGCATTCGATACTATCAAACATGACAAACTCATAGAACTATTACGTCTTTCAGGACTTGACACTAAGGACATCCAGATTATAAAAAATCTATATTGGAATCAAACAGCCCACATGAAGAATGGACATATGGTGAGTGAAAACATAACCATTTCTAGAGGGGTAAGACAGGGCTGTTTTCTTTCGCCACTGCTTTTCAACCTGTACACGGAACAAATATTTCTAGAGGCACTAGAAGAGTACAATGAGGGCATCAAGATTAATGGCGTACCAATAAGTAATTTTGGATATGCAGATGATACTATTATACTGGCCGATAACATCGAAGATTTACAGATGATGCTACATGGAGTTAATACAACTGGCAGCCGATTTGGACTGAAGATCAATAGAAAGAAAACTAAATTTATGGTGATCAGTAAAAAAAAATTTCAACATATCGACCTGCATATTGAAGACGAACGTATTGAAAGAGTACACCGATTTAAATATCTGGGATATACAGTAAATGACAAGTGGGACCCAGAAGTAGAGATTAAGATCCGAATTGAAATAGCAAGATCCAAATTCGTCAAAATGAGAAAGCTCTTAAGCAACCGCAACCTAAGCATTAACCTCCGATGGCGCGCCACGAAATGCTACGTACTCTCTACGCTACTTTACGGCGTAGAAGGGTGGACGTTAACAGCAGCAACTATAAAGAAGTTAGCGGCTCTAGAAATGTGGCTGTATCGACGCATACTGAGAATACCTTGGACAGACAGAGTGACCAACACAGAGGTATTAAGACGAATGGGTAAAGAGGTGGAATTGTTAACAACTGTTAAAAGGAGGAAAGCGTCATACCTGGGCCATGTGTTCAGTACATGATAAGTACAGTCTGCTACAGCTTATCGTGGAAGGCAAGATTGAAGGTAGAAGAGGTTTGGGCAGAAAGAAGAAATCCTGGCTGAGAAACTTGAGAGAATGGTTTCAAATACCAGAAGCTGCAAACATAATTCATGCGGCACAAAACAGAAAAACCTATCGTATGATGGTCGCCAACCTTCGGTAGAAGACGGCACATAAAGAAAGAAGACTCTGTCAAACGCTTTCTTTAGGTCAATCAGACACAGAAATGCTGGTCTATTGTACTCTAGTGATTTTTCAGTAATTTGCTTAATAAGGAATATTGCATCTGTACACGATCTTCCACTACGAAAACCCTGTTGTTCATATGCTAAACTTATCCCTTGATTTATTAGCACTTGTAAAATTTTAGTTGTAAGGTTTATCGTATTATTTAACAAGTTTATACCTCTGTAGTTTTCTGGCTGTTTTTTATCTCCTTTTTTGAATAGTAGGATTAGTTCGGGTTGCTTAAGGTTGGTAAAGGATTTTGGAGTATGGGTTACCGATGCTCATACTGTAATAAAACTCCGAGTAATGTCCACTGTTTCCGACGAAAGAGTCAGAGGTTCTAGAAATAGAACTCAGCCTCTGCCAACAAATCCTACTGTCACGTCCCCGAAGGTTTTTGCCGCGTAAACACTGGGTACATGGCGTACAATGGTTGTACGTTAGATAGCAGTCGAGAGGGGGTGAAAGGTGAGTTTCTGGCGCCAAAAAACTGAAACATATCGGCTAAGGGAATTAACCCTGACAGAAAATTCTGGTTCTCCAGGTTAGGGATTGGACAATGG